TGCGGAACCCCACAGTTGAGACTCCACAGGGCCGAAACACTCTCCCCAAGCTGCACTCTCTGGGGATGGTCCTCCAAGAAGGACCGGAGCCAGGCAAGCGCTAGGCCACTAATTCCCAACTCGGAGAGCCTCCCCAGGAGGATACCGTGGTTGATGGTATCGAAGGCGGCCAAGATATTGGGGAGGACCAACAAGGACATTTTGCCCGTCAGTCTCCCTCAGCAGGTCATCCAACAGTACGACCAGTGCCGTTTCTGTGCCATGGTGCGACCTGAGGCCCGACTGGAACGGATCCAGGGCATTGGTTTCATCCAAAAGAGCCTGACGCTGATGAGCCACCACCTTCTCCACCACTTTACTAAGGAAGGAAACATTGACGACGGGCCTATAATTGTCAATATTGTCCGCCAAATTTGGTTTCTTCCTAATGGAACCAATCAGTGTCTCCTTGAGGGCAAAGGGGACCTTGCCCTCCTGAAGAGACCCATTAATTATTGATGTGGCCCATTCTATTGTTATAGACCTGGCTGCTTTGATTAACCAGGCCGGGCAAGGATCAAGAGAGGAGGTGGTGGCCCGACAGTGATCAAGGACTTTGTCTACCATATCTAGCATCACAGGCTGAAAATATTCGAGTCTCTCTGGGCAAGGTGGAGTACTGGACATCTCTGCTCGATCCACTGTATTAGAAAAAGGAGAGAGGTCCTGGCGGATGGCCTCCACTTTAGATTTAAAAAATACTGCAAATTGGTCAGGTGAGATATTAGTAGGAGGCCCATCACTTAGACCAATTCTGGATAGATCACGAACTATACGGAAAAGGTCCGCCTGCTGATTTGAAGCTTCGCTTATCCGGTCAGTGAAGTGTGATCGACTAGCAGCTCTCACCTTAACCAGGTAACAGTTAGTCACGATCTTAACAGTTTTCTTATTATAATCCGTCGGATCCCATCTACAATTGCACTCTAGCCGTCTCCTATTTCACTTCATAGCTCGCAGCTCCTGGTTAAACCAGGACGCTGGCCGAACTCTGCGCTGGAAAGGGCATTTAGGAGCGATCGTGTCTACAGGCCTAGTGGTGGCAGCAAGCCAGACATCAACCAGAGCCTCGCCAGGACCGCCAGTCTGGAATCCCTCCCATGGTATCCTGGAATCACAATTAAAATAGGACCAAGCTAAAATAGGACCAGAAACACAGTTAAAGTGTTCTGATGAAATAATTTACTGTAGAACAAACAAACGTTGGTTGGGATATAATGTTAAAACACAGTTGCATGAGTCATACTAACTGTAAGATGTATATGAGTGAAAGAGTGCGGTGTGGGGGTGTGAGTGAGGGAAAGAGAGATAGAGAGAGAAATTGTGATGATCTCAACATCACTTCCTCTCTTAAGATAATCCCTACCATGCTGTCTCTGTATTGGCAAGGCTGGGGGCAGTGGTTTGAAAGAACAAGGAGTATATGTGGTGACTCTAGCCACAAGCACCACTTGTCACCAATTATGTGAGTCTTGCTCCCACTTCCCCTAAAAACATTATCTCAAAGGGAATTTCGGTGGGAAAAAGCTTTTCCACTCCTGGTTTAAAATCAGAGGTGGTCACTGCTGTAGTAGGACCCTGAAGGCAAGGGAAGGCAGAATGCAAGCTTAATGCTCTACATACTTTTGGCCCCAACTGAGCATAACATTAGGGGTTTTGAGGACTATGAGCTACTTGGGGATGAAGACTTATAGAAGCAAGTGTATGGAGAAGGAGGAGGATGATAGGCAGAAGTTTGCTTTGCCTGACAGGCAATTTTAAATGCCATGATTGATCATGCATGACTCATTATGCCCTGCAGTTTTTACATACCCTGATTATTTTAGGAATGTCTCATGTGACTACAAGTGGCTGACTAATTATTTTAACCCTGTATTTCAGGCCTCCAAGTGGATGCACAGTAAAGCCAGCCTCAGACTCGCAAAGGCAGTAAAGACAGCTTTGTTGACCAATAAACAGTCTAAAATACATACTCTATATCATCAGGGTGATATTGTTATAAGTTCAAACAAAAGCAAGGGCAATAGGGAGCATCTCAATTGTGTGCCAGCTTTCAGACCTGTCCATCACTTCCCTCCCCCATCTTTTGTAATGCCATGCCTGATGGAGGCATCATGTGACCCTCAGAGCTAGGACACAATTTTGGGTCTCTCCCACCCCCTTTTGGTTTGGCCTAATAAAGATAATCACTCTAAAATGATGTTTGGTTTTTGAATCTTAGAAAGAGACATTTCCAAGGGTGAATGTTCACCTTTCCTTTATGAAGATAGCCAAATAGAAATTAAAAACTGTACTAGAATAGGAAGGAACCAACCAGATGACCAGAAACTAAAACAGGTAGATAAACCACAAACACATATCTCTCTGGAACAACAAAATCAAACCAAATGACACTTGGCTATTGGAAAGGAAATGTAACAATCTGTTTTAACAGTATATGGAAAGAAATAAACAAATTCTACTTACTTTTTCTGTGACTTTCTAAGAATATCTATCAGTGAACAACATGACCAGCTATCACTGTGTGAACTAAATACTCGTGCATTTTGACAATTTGCATTGAATGCACTTTTCCAATATAAATGCATTATTTATCAATGAGCAATAACTTTGTTACAGTTATTTATATATCCTTATACTATCAGAATTATTTTAATTCACTGCAAAATGCTCTTGCACGTGACTTTTCTGATTTATTTCCCTTGCACACGTTCATCCCACTCATTTGGAATTAAGTCCCACTGCTGTAAAACATTGTTACTTGTAGGTTTAGAACTAGGATGCTAGCAACTATTTAATTTTTAAACAGTACTGATGGCAAAAAGAGCTACAAATTGAAATATAGTAAAACCTTGACATTGAGATGTCCAGATGCATTTCCACAAATTTACCTGACATAGCTATGATGATACCATTATTAAAGAACACCAAATGAGACTTGTGACCAGGGCTTTGGTCAGTCTGGAGCAGGAATTTTTTATCCACAGATGAGGAGTGAGGATTTCTGGAGCAATAAATAGATAAAAGAGCTCCCCCACCCCCCGGCATTACATATATTTAATCAGAAAGCTTCAAGCCCCAGACCACAGACTCTCTTCAAATTACAGGGAATGGAAAGAGATGCAGTTCTAGAAAATGAATTAATCCTCTACAGTGTGGAAAGAGGAATTGTTGAATAATTCTTGTATTATTTGTTTCAAGAACCTAATAAATGATCAGGGGCTTCAGACAGTCAATTCTTTGTTTCCTCCATGCTTCTTTTCAACTGACATCCACACATGTTTTCCTCTGACATCCTAACAATTCATGCAATACCCTGCTCCTGCTGTTGGTCCTGAGTTGCTGGTGGTCTGGGGCACACTGCCTCTGCTTCTGGAAAGAGTACAGCCGTTATAATCCACAGCCATTGACAGCATTCACTTCCATGATTTTGCCTAATTCCCCTTTAAAGCAATTAAAGCCAATGATCATCATCATTCCCTCTGGTGGTCAGCTCCACAGCTTAACTGTTGAAAAAAGTACTCTTGTCTTCTTGTCCCTAATCTCCTGCCATTCCATATCACTGGATGTCGCACAAATTTCTAGCAAACAATCCTCCCTATATGTACAACTTTATGTGTTGATATACTATCCTCCCATTTTACTAATGTTTTTAACCTTTAAAAAACCCAGATACTGTACTCTTCCCTACAGCTCTCTCATTTTTGCTTCCATCTATGTAATTCCTGCTGTTCTTCGATATAATTTTAAAGATACTGCAACCAAATCTGCTCAGTATTTCGTGGGTAGTTAACAGTTCAGTGAGCTAGACTGCTTTGCCAATCAGCACTGCCAACTCAGGGAAAAATGTAATAGTCTCTACATTTAAATAAATATTCATTTGGACCCAAGTTAATTTTACATTCTTCTATTTTAATTATCTTGCTACTGGCTCTGCAGCAGCTGGATTTGGGGTCTGATATTTGTTATGATTCAGTTTTTAAAGAAATCACTGCTATGTTGATGTTATCTTTAGATATTACTCTATGTACAATTTTTGGAAAAATGAAGTCTTATTCTCATGACAAAACAAGAAGTACTGAACGATTATGTGTGTATCAGGAATGAGGTGGGAATAGCCAAAAATAATATGGGGGTTAGAGTCAAAGTCTAACCCTGAGTGTGTTTTTAGCTGCACCTTGTTTTTAATCATTTTCGTCCCGATGTTGGAAAAAGGCAGGACAGAAATAAAATAAAGCTGAAGCAACTGCTGCTCACCAATGTGAACTTAAGAACTATACAGTCTTTTTCACTTGTACAGAGGTCCTGATTTTAGAGCACCATCCAAAGCAGCATGTGTGAAGCTACAGAAAGCAGCATATTTCCAGTGAGCTCAGATAGCTGAGAGATAAATAAGAAAAAGGGGCACCGCTCCCATATGAACTCCATCCTCTGAGAGATGCATAGACATATGTCTGCTCCTGTTTATATATAACCCCCTTCAGACTGCTTACTCAAGATGAATTACAGCACAAGGCTGTGATGCAGTGTGTGTAGCCTTAGCAGGAGCTGGTAAGATAACAGCTTGATAATGAACAATCACTCGCATTGTATTCAGAAGCTAAAGTTAGAAAATTAGAGCTTCCATTTATAGCGCACTTGTACACACATCATTACTGGATACATACCAGTACTATTCAGCATTCCTAATGCACAATCTAAGAATCTATTTCCAGTACAAAATCTAGAATTAATATAGGTAAAGAATATATCGGTTTAGAGACAGGTTGGAAAATCAGGTATTTTAATAGAAAGCAACATGTGTGTATCAAGGAAAATATATGCTATATTCTATGCTACATTCTATTTATTTTTTCATACTTAGCAATGCGTTGCTTCTGATCTATCTCTAACAATCCACGAAAGGGCATGCTACAGGAAAATCGGCTTGCAAAACAATGAACAAAAATTCTCATGAAAACCGGGCAATGTCAAGTAAAATATGGGGGTAAAAAACTTAATAAAATGTCTCATCAGTACTATGACCATTGAAGTGCTTTTTGAAAAGGAAAACTCTAGCTTTCTACATATAACAAGCCTTAATTTATCTTCAAAGGTAAGGCAAAAAAGGCTAAAGATACAATAACTCTGCATGCCATTTTGAGTACTGAAAGTAGATCTTCATCTCCTGCTGTTATAACCTTCATACCTGGCAAAAAGGCAAAGAGCCAGAAGCCATTTCTTTAATAGAAGGAATGACATGATGCAGCAGAATGCTGCAGCAACACAGTTTCTGCTGGGGACAGATGGTGCTTGTTTGTTTATAAACACATCTGAACTGCAGAAAGATGAAGGTTCAATATAGGTGGAAAGCTATGGGATGATGGTGTCAAATGCACATCAGACTTCAGCCCTGCCCACACAATATGTATTTGCATCATTTCAATCCATGTTCACCTTATTTCTTTCTACATGTATCCATTTTATTCCAGAAAACTTGATGCCTTTTATGGCACTTTTCGTACACTGACGGTCACCACTAAGACATCTCTTCAGTTTCCACAAATGACGCTGCACAATTGCACAGGAAAAGCTTAGTCTGGAAGCAGCCTGAGTGTCATATAGATGCTCCTTTTTGCGTTCAATGGGCCCCTTTTGAAAACCTAAATGGAATTCAGCACCTAAATGCCATATATTGATTCCCCTGTGCAAAGATGACAACATTCCTCATCCTCATTCACACTCTTATTAGCGAGCTTGGGGCCAAAAGATCTCAGATGTACAGTAATCATTGCCTATCATGATGATGATGAAACAGCAGACATTCATAACAATGTGAAGTGCAATGGATACAACTACCACTTAGAAACAGATTGAGAAAATGCAATCCAAACAAAAACTCATAACAAACAGCACAAGCAGTGTGAGATATCCAGGATAGTTAAACTACATTGTTCACACAATATATAGTTAACCTGTGGATTTACTACTGCAAGATCCTGTAGGCTGCCAATGTGGATATTTTTAAAGGTCTTTGATAAATGCATGCAACTTAGGGCCACCAATGGCCCTATTAGTCAGGACGGCTGCATTCCTTCTGCCAGTACCAGGCATAATAAGCTTTTGTATATCAACTGCTGAAGGCAGAAGGTGCAGTTTCATCACACCGTACTTTTAGACTTGCCACAAGCTAATGACTCTTTTTTGAGAATAGAATTTTGTACTAAATGCAGTTTTGCCTTGTCCAGCACTGCTCTTGTCATTTCTCAAACTGATGCAGAACACAATTCATGGTTGAAATGAATTGCCAGTGTGAATAAATACATAGATTATTTAGGAGTAATGCCTATGGAACTCAGTAGAATTCCACAACTACCAAATACTACTAAATAAACATGCACAGATCAGAACGTAGGTCTATGTAAATGACTCGCTTAAAGCTCTTCACATTCTGCCCTTCAAGCTGGGCTTGTAGCTTGACATTTGAATTGATTTCTTTCTGAGGTGAATGTCACTTTAAAAAGAAACATATTGAATACCTGTACCAGCCAGATGCCATCCTTTGTGTCTTCTACCAGCTCATAAAAGTGCATTTCACCACTGAAGTTTGTACTGGAAACCGATTCAGAAGCTTCCTCTTCTTTGAGAGCAGAGTAAAGTTCACCTTCCATAAGATCTCCTGAGTAGTAAAACAATGAAACAATAATTATCTTGCACTCTAAAGGTCACATTGGTGACAAGAATGCAGATACCGATGTGGACAAGGGGTTGGCACAAACTGTAAATTATTTTTTGAGTCATTGAGCAAAAACTGTACATCTACATGTTGTCTGCTGGTAAAAAAAGCCCAAAATTAAATTAGGCTAATACATTTTAAGTTTAATCCAAATACACTGTTTAATGCCATAGCAGAAGCAAAGGTCAACCAAAAGATAATTACTTGGAATGTCTATCCCAAAAGGTTTTTTCTAACTGGTTTAATAATAGATTTGTTCATATTATTATTGCAATTTTCTAAAACATAACCCAAATCTTTATAAGTGGCATCTAGACAACATCACTCTTATACAGATAATTCTATCTATAAAAGACTAAATATGGTATGAGATAAAGCAATACATTTATCAATTAATTTTATTATTGACACTTTGAATTAGAAATGATTCAAACGCTTGAGAGCAGGCATTGCCTAGTAGCTAAGCATGCAAGTCCCAAATCCAAGTATTACCTCAGACATTAACACAACAAATGGTCTCCAGCCACCAAGCTGTCAACCTTAACGTCTACCCCACCCCATAATATGGGGATAACAAAAACCCCTTAGAGGCTCATTGGGCAAAATTCTGTTGTATAGCACAGTACATTACACTAGAGTTAGGCCCACTGAATCAATGGACATTTGGTGAGTCACCTCCTTCATATGTCCCATAGATTCAAATGGGCCTACTCTGTGACTTACTTTAGCATAGTTATAGTTAGAGTAGGCCCCCTTATAAAGGAGCTGACCCACCAAACCCCATTGATTCACTAGAGTCAGTGACACTTTAGTTTGATTTACTATACTAAATAACAGGATTTAGCCACTGTGTTATGTGACTGCAAGATGGAACTGACTTATAGTGACCCTATCAAGGCTTTAAAGGTGATAATTTTAAGCAACTGTGTTACAGTATTAGTTCCATGGTTGTGTGGGAATTCAAACTCAGGCAAACTGAGCCCTAGTCTGTCACTCTATCCACTACACCATACTGGATAATTAGTAATTATTAGAGAGATCATGTACATGAAATGCACTAAATATTTGTATGTAGAACATCTATTTGAGTTATTAAACAAGACACTATAAGAAAGTATGTAACAGGTTCTGAGTCATTAAGAAGGCTGTCACCATAGTTCTACTATGTGCACCTTGCACCACTACAAAAGTAGAACTTTAAATATACCATATATTTGAACATGTATTCCGTGGGTGTACATGACCTATCCAATTATTCCTATAAAGCACTTGCATCCATCCACACCATTCAAGCATCTGTAGAAAGGCTGTCCCCAGCCCCAAGATTCAGCATTGATTTATTTATTTTATTTATTTAACTTATATGCCGCCCACTCTACCCAAAGCTCCTATCATTCTACACAAAGGTCCCAAACAAACTTGAGGCTATAGCAAAGAATGGACTGAAACATAATAATATATTCTTGTGCATTAATTTATCCAATGAGCTCAAGAAGACTCTTCTTTTCCCTCCAATAATCCTGGCCCAAGATCACATTGTGTGTTCCATGGCTCAGTGGAAGCGAAACTTGGACCTCCGATACCCCAGCACATAACAACACATACCCTCACTTTCAAGGCTATTGAACAGATCTCTAAGTTACTGTTAACTGTAAATAAACCCCACCAAGCCAATGAAACTTGGTAAGTGAGAAAGGGATAATAGTGTAATTTGGCTGCCAGTTTTAGGAATGGCTGCATCTGCAGTGGTATGACTTCTGCTTTGATGGCAGGTTTGCTGCCCAGGTGAATAATCAGGCAGGGAAAGCTACATTTCATGTTTGGAAAGCTGCAGTTAGAATGAAGACAAGCAGAATGTTATCACATTCATAGTTATGGGTAGGGGAAAGTATGGTTGTGGAAGCAGGACAAACATGAAAAGGGAGTCAGTTTAGACATCTTTGGTCTTTTCTCCCACCAGGCCCTCCTCTCAGTCAAAGAGAAAACTAGTATTTTGCACCTTGAAGTTTCTCTTCTGCATTCCAAGCTGGCAAAAAGTATGTACAATGGTGCCTCAATTTACGAACTTAATCCCTTCCAGACGATTGTCATAACTTGAAATGGTCGTAAGTCGAAGCACAATTTCCCAGAGGAATACATTGAAATGCGATTAATCTGTTCTGGCAGGAAAAAAATCACCAAAACAAAAACAAAAACAAAAACAAAACCCTGCAAGACCATTGGAAATGCAAAATAAGAAAACCAAAAAGCAAACAGATCCTGCAAGACCCATCAGAAATGCAACCCCCCCCCAAAAAAAGCAAACAAACCCTGTAAGACCTATTGGAAATGGGAAAAAAACCCAAAAAACAAACAAACCCTGCAAGACCCCTCGGAAATGCAAAAAAAGAAAATAAAAAAACAAACTCTGCAAGACCCATTGGAAATGGAGGAAAAAACCCAAAAAGCAAACCAACCCTGCAAGACCCATTGGAAATGGGGAAAAAACCCCAAAAGCAAACCAACCCTGCAAGACCCATCGGAAATGGGGGAAAAAACTAAAAAAGCAAACAAACCCTCCAAGACCCATAGGAAATGGGGAGAAAACCAAAAAAAGCAAACAAACCCTGCAAGACCCATCGGAAACGCGGAAAACACCCCCTCCCAAAGGAAAGACTGCAAGACCTATCACAGCACAGAAACATAACTGCCAGCCTAATACCATGCTGCAAAACCCACCCAGAACAGGCTATTTTTAAAAAGCAGAAAGCAGCACCTTAACAGGCAGTCCGAAGCCTCCTCCAAACGCACACTCTCTAACTGCTGGAGCGAAAGAGCTACAAAGAAGCAGCCTCTTCACCACCAACGGTTAGCAGTTTGAATTCCCTGCCTTTTTTCCGATCATAACTCGAAGCTCTGGTCAAAAGTCAAAGCAAAATTTTGTGGCTGGAGCTGGTCGTAACTCAAATTGGTTGTAAGTCGGGTCGCTTGTAAGTCGAGGCACCACTGTATAATACCACATAGGATTTAATCCTACACGAGCATTCCAACCTATTCGTATGTTCCATAGAGACCTGGGTGGGTAAGCAATGTAAGGTTAGGCTATCAAAGATGTGTCCAACTGGCTTATTAGGGCAGCTGCAGCCCAAGCCCAACGAAATAGTCCACTGTGATCCTATACAGTTGTCAAATTTTGAAGGTACATCCCTTGAACTTACTCCTGGATTTCTTAATGAACTGGATGAGGCTGAAATCAGAGTGGACCCTCTTAATCAATTACTGAATAGTACATCAAAACTTAATTCAGCCTCATTGATTGATCAAGAGATGATGAAACTCACTAGAATGGGGGCAGGGTGTGATCCCCATCCTCAGCACACTCCCTAATCTGTGCCCTCAAAACTAGCTCTGCAGTCAAGGCTTTGGGACAGCACAGAGATTTGAACGGGAGGAGAACAAACTTCCACTGTGAATGCAACACTGGATGTCACCTCACACTCATTTTGAGAATGAGGCCAGTAATGGCTTGTAAATTGATTGAGGGTTGCTTACCCCAAAGTTTTAGGGGAAGCCCATATGGGCAGATTAACTTCTGAACATATCTTTCTTCTATCTGTGTAACTGAAGCAGGAGGCAATCCTGACTAAAAAGCAGGGTATAAGCCTCCAACCTACAATTACATAATCATGTTTAACTTACATTTAGAAGTTTACATTAAAATATAATAGTTAGTCTTTAAGGTGCCACATGCTTTTGTCTTTGTTTTCATTTTTGTTTCATTTTGTTTTTTTCAATTTTGTCTGATATGCTTGTATTCCTCTGACATTCACAGTGAGATTATTTATTTGTTGATACAGAATGCTGGTTGCAGACTTGTGCGTATCTGAGACCCTGAGAAAAGGATGAGTCTATCACAAAAGGGCATGTAAATGAAACTAGTACTACAAGTCATTCACCAGAAGCCACAGCCCTCTGGTAAAACGCATGATTTGCACACAAAAGGTCCAAGGTTCAACTGCTGGTATCTCAGGTAGGGCTTGGCAGAACTCCCATCTGAAGCTTTGGGAAGATTTGCTAGCTTACCATAGGCAATCCTGAGCCAGACAGACCAATGATCTGATTGGTGTAAGGTAGATTCTCATGGTTTCTACACCAAGGAATAAACTCTGAAAGCCATAACTGCCAATCAAACAATTCATGTTTCACGGGAACAATCATGTACAATGGCACAGTATCTCTATAGGTACTGTAATGCTGTTCAAAAGAATTATGCATCCAGGTAAGGTAGTTTCTCATAGTTTCTACACCAAGGAATAAACTCTGAAATCCATAACTGCCAATCAAACAATTCACGTTTCATGGGAACAATCATGTACAATGGCACATTATCTCTATAGGTAATGCTGTTCAAAAGAATTATGCATCCAAGAACAAAAAGCAATTTGTCAGTTTTGCTCCTTTTTCTTGACTGCCTGTACTTATTACTATTGATGAAAACATACATTTATGCAACTAAACTATTATTTAGTATAATGAGAAACACTTGGCTATCTTACAGTGCTAACCATCAGCCTGGAAGCATGTTTAAGGGAAGAGATTTTACAAAGGTGTTTGTTCTGAAACAGGTAATCTTCAACACACCTTACTTAGCAAACAAAAGCTACCAAACAAACTCTCTTTCTCCTAAAGTTACTTCCCGAAATACATAAAAAGATCTTGTTTCCTGATGAAACAAGAAATAGCCTAATGACAATTGTATGGTGTATTATGTATTATCAATCTCACTGAGTTCAAGGAGACTTCTGAGAAAGCAGGCTTTGGATTGCCCTGGAAAGCAGCAACCCTATGCATACTTGCTTATTCTTATTTGGATAAACACACATAGGTTGTTAGAGTTCTAGTAACCTCATTACTTAGGTTTAACATGTTGGTTGCGGTTACTGAGCAAAACACAAACCAAAATAGGAAGCAGTAAAACTTTGCCACAGTCACAGGCAATACAACCCAAACAGTACGTGCCGTTTTTCAATTTATAATTCTTCTTTGTGCATTTAAAATAAAACCACAATGTGAAGTCATGTTCTTCAATTATTTTCATTTGAACATGTACCAATTTCTCTCTTTCTTTCATGCTGCTGTGCAGTATGTCTTCCTTGCCAATCTCCTGCTGCCCTTCTTGAGGTGGCTACGTTTCAGAAACTGTGGTTGTGTTTCAACCTTGAGGTCATGCCTATTATTGAGAACCTCTACTGTATTTAGCATTATTCCCCAAGTGTTTTTTATGTTCTTGATATCCTATCATATAGCAGATACTCACAGATTCAGTTAAAAATCTGGAATTAATGGCTTTATAAATGCCTCCTTTAAATGGTAATGCACATTACTAAACTTAATTCAAAAGGTGCTATGCTACATTTGGAGGCCTTCTTGCTGATTCTTCTGAGCAGGGGCCTCACCTTCAATTCCAAAATACCACTCTTGTGGCAAAATACCACTCTTGTGGCAAAATACCACTCTTGTGGCACTACCGTGGCCCTTTAATAAAGGGAAACTGGGGGGAGAGAGAAACAATGCCTATAAATGCCTGTTCTTACCTGATTTTTCAACCAGCTCCCTGACATCCTTCTTCTCCAAAAGCCCTGAGTATCCAAGGCCCCTGCACTCCAAAATGGTCTTCAGCTTCTTGAAGCTCAGTGCCACAGGATCCACCAACTGGGTAGCAAAGAAGCCAGTTTCATACCAAACAATGGCCTCAAAAAACCTGGCCAGGATGAACAGGACCAAAAAATACAGAAGCAAGAAAAACAGCTTCAGCCACATCTTTCCTCTGTTGTGTGCTGATGACTCTCTGCAGAGAGTCAATCAATCCTACAAAAGAGATAGAGAGAAATGTCCCGATGGAGGAGAACAAGGAAGCCAGGCATTGTTAAAACGTGTCATAAGAACACCCAATTTTGTTTTAATCAGGATCTCTCTGAGAGACAGAGAGAAAGAGTTCTAGGTAGCAAACACCACCAAGGATAGGAAGAACACCCCGTCCAAAGACTCACACTGGAGGGAACCAACTGATGATGTGGCAGAAACAAAATGGGGTGGGGGGGAGGCATATTGGGGGAGGGAAAGCAGATCCTCGAGCGATGTCTGATGCTCGGCCTCCAAAAAGAGACGGGTTGGAGCGGATCAAGGGAGGGATGAACACCAACTGGAAGAACTCTGGTCCCGGGGGTAGGCGGAGGTGGTGCTCCCGGGAGGAGGGCGCAATTGTATACGGCGGCAGACCCCAATCGGGAAATTATATTATGGAATGGGGGGGTCGCATTTAAAGAAGGGGAGAGGGGGGGACCTGGCACTGGCACTGGAGGCGTTGCTGCTTAAAGGGGGGGGGAAGGAGAGAAGGATGCCCAGGAAAAGAACGGCCCGGCTTGGCAAGCTGAGGCGCCCCTCCTTTTTTTTTACCCCCTCTCGGGCTTGTGGCGGTGGCGGCCCTACTCCGGCGGGATCCGCCGACGGGGAAGCGGTGGCTGGGCTTCGGAGAGCCCCCTCGCCCTCGGTCGTCGTCGCTGCCGTCGCCTCCCCGCGGCGGAGCAGAGCCCGGCCCGGAGGAGACATAACATGTGACGTCGACAGCCGTGGACAGCAGCGAAGGGAGGAGGAGGAAGAGGAAGGAGGCGGTGGGGGGGGAGGCCTCCTCGGCCGCGTACCTTTCAGCCCGGCGGCCGCTTCTTCCCAAAGGAGTTGGCCTTCGAAGCCCGCCGGCCCATCCGTCTGGAAGGACTCCTCGGGGGTCGCGGTCCGCACCGGCCCCCTCCAGCTGGCTGGCTGGCTGGCTGGCTTTCAGTCGGCTTCCTGCAAGGATGAGGAGGCGGGAAACAGCCCGCTTGCGTTCCGCCCACCTTCGCGTCTCCTGACTGAACGCGAAGGGAAGTGGGGAAGGGATCATCAGCCGGCGCTCCCTCCGCTCGCCACTCGGCTGCCCCCCTGGCTCGAAACTTGTACCACTTCGGAGTCGTCCAGTCCCGCTGAAATTGGTTGCTGAGTTGTAGTGTGGTTTAAAAAAAAAAGCGCCAGGAGAACATGTGTGAGGCGATCGCAACGGGATTTATCTGTGATATTGTCCTAAGGATAACGATGAAATACTATTTGCCAAAAAGAAGAAAGAGTAACCGGAGCCCATCAGCTTTTTTGCCATCCCGTAGAAGTCTATTTACAAAGTTGAAAGCACACCCCTTTGATCGACATACAATTTTGGACTGTAAAGTGAACGAAAACAAAAAACCCCAAACAAACCAAAAAGCACACACACACACACAGCCCGAAATAAAACGTGTAATCCCATAATTCAGTAATGTCTATAAAATCATCTGACATTTGCCCAACCTAGTGGGATGTCATGTGTGATAATCACAATCTTTCTTAAAACAACCAGTGGCACCAGCAGTTAGCAACATATCCTAAATTCAGAAACCCAGTACAGTACTGTAGTCTACTGCCAGGAGAGTTCTCTAGGAATTGTTCCCACAACTATATATACAATCTAGAAATGAATCCCTTAAATGTGACTTGGATTCTGAGAACATTGCTGATCATTTACTTTCTTCTGAGTACAGGGTTATCTTATTACAGAGCATTTTCTAAAAGGAGCAGCAATTAAGTATCTTTCCCAAGAAAGGCTTCTAATACAAGAGATAAAAATCTGAAGTGAGATTTTGATGTATTTACCAAACACCTTAACACACCTAAATCACAAACATACTGCATCACATCTGCCAATCACTGACTGGTCTGTAAGAGTGGGAGGTAAGCAGGAAATTAATTCTAGCACCAATAATTTAAATGCATATATTGTATGCTTGCAATGCTGTCAAAGTGACAGCTCCCTCACAATATGCAATATCTAATGTGACACTGGAAAATGAAAGAAGGGGAATAGACTGTGGGATAAATTTAACCCTTGTCTCTTTATCTACACAACCCACTTACTCACTTTTGAATAAGTTGAATTGATTGGAAGACAGAAAGAGAGGGTATTGAATTGATTGGAAGACAGAAACTGAATCAAACAATCTTTAACCATATTCTCCAGAAGAAACTGAAACAGAGCTTGATTTAGCTTGATTTACTCTGTAGCCATTGCAGCACATTCAGCAAGGAGCAGCTGAAATAGAAGCAACAGTAACAAAGCACTAAATCCAATTGTTAGTCCTCACAAGAGTAGAACCATAGAATCAATGAAACAACTTTTTTTAAAAAAGTTCTGCATACAATTTACTTGACATATTGAGGGCATAATAAGAACCAATAGTTAATAGTCTGTCCTCCAGTTTTCCTTTTACTATAATATATCTGCCCTCAGAGTCTTCCATATGATCAATCACTTCAAATTCTGAATTCTTCATGAAGATTATTTCCACCCCTCTAGCCTTATTTGTTCCATTTGTGATATATTGTTCATCTAACATTGGGTGCTTAATAATTTCTTTCTTGTTCTTATTTTGATAAGTCTCCTGTAACAACGACACATCTACTCCCAATTTTTGAATAGTCTTAATGACTCTATATCTTTTCACTGGAGACCCCAGCCCATTCACATTATAGTGGTGCCTCGCGAGACAGTTACCCCGCATGACAGGTTTTTTTTTGCTAGATATTGACTTTTTGCAATTGCTATAGCGATTCGCAAAACAGTGATTCCTATGGGGGAATTTTGCTGAACAATGTTTGGTCCCTGCTTCACAAACCAATTTTCGCTAGACAACGATTTTGACAGCTCCCGCCGTACTCGCAAAACAGGTGTTTTTGGGACCTAAGCTTCGCAAGACAGCGATTTAAACAGCTGATCGGTGGTTCCCAAAGTGGCTTTCCTATGGCCGATCTTCACTAGACAACAGCGATTCTTCCCCATTGGAATGCATTAAACAGGTTTCAATGCATTCCAATGGGGAAATGCTTTTCACTAGACGATGATTTCGCTAAACAGCGATTTCAGTGGAACAGATTATCATCGTCTAGCGAGGCACCACTGTATAAGAAAGGATTTGGAGATTATCTAACATTGCAGTCATACATTGTGTAAGCTGTCTTTCCAAATATATTCTTTCTCAGTATTTGTCTAACAGATTTTATATATATTGTGGTGTACAGTCTACAATAATATTTTACTAAGCAAGATTGTCTAATTACTTCTATTTTTCTTGTCAGTGTCCCCCAATTTACCATTCCTAGTTCCCTCCCATCCTTTCTCCCCTCCCTCACCCTTGCCCTGTTCCAGCAATGGTCAGTGAGAACAAGTCCCCAGCTCATATTTGAGCTGTGCCCTGTGGAATTATAGGGAGCCAGGGAGTTTAAAAGTCCCTGAAACAAAGATCAGTTCTATCCTCATGCCCACTTTAACCCTCTTTAATCTATAGCTGTACTAATATAACAAATTGAAATTATGTTTGTTTATAAATATTATATTTCTTGCTTATCATTACACTAAGCTGTTCTAAATGTATATTCTAAATATTTTTAAATACATGTGCTTTGTCTAAGATTCTATCATATATTATATTATTTTATCATCGTATAAGCATGAACTGTAACAATACAATATACTAACTTATTCTATGTTATTTAAAGAGTTTTTAAAGTTTAATTAATAGCTAAAACTTTATATATATAAGAGTCCTTCCAGCTTTTACTAAGTACTGGGAACAACCTATTATCTTCAGTAACAGATAAACTCCCATTTGACCTTGAGGGTACAGCTGTTTATCTCATTTCTCCTTTCTCTTCCACCACAGCTGCATTCTCTCTGTGTGCGCCGCCTGGTTTTTCTGCTCCTCCATAGCCTGTTCTCCTGGAAAAGGAATGTTTAAACCTTTAAAGAGGTGTTATAATTCCTCTATAGTCGCCGCTCTCAGCTTTCCCCCCTCATAACTGATAGTCCAAAGGGATAAAGCCAATTTGTAGATTATTTTCCTCTCCCGAAGAACTTGTGTATATCTCCTCCTCTATTTACATTTAAATATGGTCTCTGCGGCGAGATCTTGGAAAAGTTCCACATTTTCCCCTTTGTATGTTAACTCCTGTAATTTATTCAAAGCATGGTAAACATCTGTCTTTATTGTAAATGAGACACCAGTAAATCTCTGCTCCAGTTCTTTTATCTTCTCCCAACTCAATGAACTATCTTTAGGAGTGATTTTGAGGTCCGGCCAAAGTTCTTGTATTCATTTTAAGATTAGTTGTTTTAAGTCCTCCCCTCCTGTCTAAGATTCCTTAAAATGTTACAGATGAATATTATAGTGTCTCCCATGATTTTCCTGCTCAATGAGTTTGTCCCCTAATTGTTGCATCGGGCTTCCAATTCTTCACTTTTTGTTTGTAAATTCTGTGGCAACTTGAATGCTGCGTCTGCCGTTTGTTGTATTTTACTAATGTTTGATTTCACCTCCATTAAAGTTGTTCTAGAGGTGCAACTGCTCTCTTCATATCATGTTGTACATCCTTTCTTAATTGTTTTATTAGCTGTCTCATCTCATCCTTATCTTTCTTTGTTTTTTCTCGCCCTCGTCCCTTTGCCTTACCTTGCTCTCACTCTTGGATCCCAATGAGCTGGACAGCTTCTTCATCTGAGGAGACTGTGGCTTCAACAGGGACTCCTTTTAATGTCTTCTTTTTTGGCTTTCCCATATCTAGGCAGCTTAGAATGTTTTAACTCTCAGTTTATAAACATTCACTGTTTATTTTCTCAATGCTTTGAGAGGAGCTGATCTTCTATGCAGCCATCTTCATTGGTTTGAGTTTGAGTTTCATTATTATAGTCATAGACCCAAAAATTCAAAGATAAAAAACATTATATAAGATATAGAGTAAGTTGTTAGAACATATCAGTGGTATAAAACTTGAGTCATGTGGTTGTCTTAATATAACATTTTACGAATTCTTAAAACTGAGAATAAAAACTTAGCCACTGACTGTGTTATTAATTGGTTCTCTCCAGACAGCAGAAACTTCAGGTAGTCTGTGGGAGGTATACTAGTACATTTACACATTATTGGGTAGAGGTACCAGATATGTTCAAACCTATATAAGCTACATTCTAGAATGGTGTGTGCCAATGACTCAACTGTTTCTTCCCCACAGGGGCATATTCTTTCTCCATAAGGAATGTTATTAAAGCGCACTTTTAACAAGGCTGAGGGAAAGCAATTAAACCTAGCCCCTGAGAAGACAAAACAATACCTTGGTACTGTGATTTGATATAATTTGCTAACTTGGGAAAGTTAAAATTTAAACCAAAGTGCATTGGTGAGCAGGATTTGTCTGCATATGCTAGTGAATACTGGAGATCTATACAGTATCTTTAATGCATTGTACAAACATTGACTTGATACTGTCATAAGGCTTACTCAGAAAGAAGTCCATAGAGAAGCCTAAAAGATGTAATTTGTCAGTAAAGCCCTTATGCCATGAGCTGACAAAGACATCTTTTTGTAAATATTGTAAATACCCACTGGTTGTGGGAGCATATACCACCTTCAACCAGAATCGGAATGCATACAACCAGGCTTGACATTCCACCGATTGAAAGCCAGCCTCCAAATGCAAGGTAGCTGAAGAGATGCATCTTGGTATAGCCAATAGGAGTCCCAGCAAGTTTGATAGAACACTTTCAACTGAGGAAGGAAACCATTTATCCAAATCGCAATACCATACAGGAGCTGCGCAAAAAATTTATACTTCACTATCTGTCGAGCAGGGATGAACTGCCCACCCTGCACATAGTGGTATTGTCTAAGAACTTTGCTTGTCTATGGTGAGACCAGGAGAGGGTACGGGAGAAGACAATTCCCAAGTATTTAAATGCTTTAACTTGCTCTATACGCTGGCCTTCAATAACCCATTCTTTAACTTTACTATGCCTAGAGAAAATCGTTATTTTGGTTTTCTTGAAGGTAATTGTTAATATGCTGTTCCTGCAGTAACTCATAAATGCATGTAGAATTTGTTTAAGACCAACCTCCGATAGGGGCATGATAACATCTCCATTGGCTTGCAGACCACGCCCCTCTCGAATCAATGAAACGACTCATAAATTTGGAGGCCTAGTTTTGCTGAAACAAATCACTGTATTTAGATCTAAGGATTTGTAAGTGGACAGTGATCGATACACCCACATGACCTCAGCTACCATAGTTCCTAAAGTTTTTCAGCTGCCCAAGAAGTGTTCAAGCTTTGGAAACAAAACTGTGTGTTGAGAGAGGACTGTTGCTTTCTGTAGAACCATTAAAGGGCAGCAGTTGAAGCACTATGCCTTTTTTAATTCGTTCGTTTAGTCGTTTAGTCGTGCCCAACTCTTCGTGACCCCATGGACCAGAGCACGCCAGGCCCTCCTATCTTCCACTCGTGCTAATTTTCATTCATTCATTATTTATTTAATTTATGTATTACACATAAAGCAAAACTGCTACTCTAGATGGTGTACAACAAAACATACAGATATGAGATTAATATAAAGCATCAAACTATCCTACAGATAAACAAACAAGACAGGCATCAAAATAACAGTTTTGCATTATACAATATTCTTTCTTCCTTTGTTCAAATTAACTTAGAAGAGCCTCCCCAAAAGCTTCCCTAAAAGGCTCAACAGCTTTTTAAAGATGTGAAGAGAGGGCATCTGCTGTGGAAGAGTTTTCCATGAGGACACCACTGTTGAGAAATCTGCTTCTGTAAAACATCATAACATCATTCAAGAATGCTTGCCTGGCATGAAGAACGACCACACCAAGAAACTTTTGAAAACTTCCAGAGGAAGATGTATATAGTACCATTGAAACCTTGAATCTACTTGCTTTTTTCACACAAAAGAAAAAAAGCGTTGTGGCACCTTAAAGACTCATATTTTAATAAGCGTTGTGGCACCTTAACTTATATTTCGTGGACCTTCTTAGCCCACTTCGTCAGACATCAAGGGGAACAGCGTCCAATAAAGGTCTCGCCTGCTTCTGCATTTACACTGGCTTTTTTCGGGAGCCTACATGGCCTATTTCTAGTATCATTTATTAACTGTTTACTGTGAACAGGAGGCGCAAAACAATAATTATGACAAAAGTGGAATTAAAATTGGTGGACATTCTTAAGAAGGAGGAAGATTAAACGACTTTTGAAACAATGTCGCGTACTTCCTAGGTGCATAGATGGGTAAAGAAAAAATATATTCATAGATGTGTAAAGAAAAAACATATAATCCAAAAAACAAATAGGGCTCCGAATCCGCTTGTTAAAACCGGAGCCAGGGCTGCATTTTCAACACCTAAGAAATAAGTAACGTCAGAGAAGCAGATAAAAACAACCCCCGCGACGCGGCCTTTAAGGAGTTAACACGCGACGGAAGTGGAAGACATGGCGGGAAGACCCGGAGAATCCGCTTCCGCCCTCTGTTTACTAACTACCACTCACCCAAGTAAACAAACCCGCCTTTCTAAGCCGAGCCCCTCCGCGCTGCGGCAACCCGCCTTTCGAACGGCCCTATCCCGACTGTTTACTCAAAGGTTCCCAATAGACTGGCTTTTGAGCGAAGATCACGCTTAGGCGTCTACTCTGTTGCCTGTTCGAGGTGCCCTCGGGCTGATAAGTGTCTAGAATCATAGACGTTCAAGTGCAGACTTGTAGACTCGTAGGGCTTCGCCCAGCAAATTGTACGTTGCGGGTCTCTTTTCCCCCTCGCCGCCGCGTTTTTTTTTTTAAAAAAGCTTTTTTTGCAGCATTTTCGGGAGATTTGAGGGAAGTTCCCAGAAGGTCTTCCATAAAGACCAAAAAGTTCGTATACATGAAATTCAGAAGGTTGGGATATCTGGGTCATGGACTGAGAAACAAAGAGTCGGAATGTTATAGCTAGCAAAGAAGGTAAAATAAATGTGTGTGTGGGGGGGGAAGTGGAGAAAGGAAAAGAATGTAAAAACCTGGGATACCGATTTAGGTACAATACAACGTAATTGTCGGAGCTGTCAGATCTAAAGTCAGGCTAGACATGGTGACGGTGAGAAACGAGAAGAAGGAGAGCTGTCCACAGAAAATGCTTAAAATTCGCTAAACAGCACTTACGTTTTTCTAAAGAAATAGAACGTAAGTTTACAAGAACACAAGTTTCTATTTTTGCTGCTACATTGTTTTTTTCCCCTCTGAGGAATGCTTCTCAGATATCTATTTATACTTAAACCCGAAATTCCTTCATTACATTCGATGATCAGAGAGAGAGAGAGAAAAATAAAGTCTCAAGGGACCCGCAAGTTACATCCCCAGATGAGAATGTCGGTTACTCTAATTATTTCCTGTGTCTATGCGCAAACCGCATCCAATCTCACAGGCGTCTCTCGAGGACCTGGTCGGGGTGGTTTCCGCGCTTGCCTGTGACACAGCACCAACCCTTCTCCGCGAAGGACCCCGTTTGTCTCGGGCGCTGCCTGTAAAAACAACAACCCCAGCCAGGCAACCTGCTTCTCCTTCCCGGACTCCCAGGTCGTCTGCGGAGGGTGATCTGGTCGCTTTCCAGGGGCTTCGCTGGTCGGCGGTCAGGGTGCCCAGGGGAGAGGCCATGGACCAGTGCGTGACGGTGGAGCGCGAGCTGGAGAAGGTGCTGCAGAAGTTCTCGGGTTACGGGCAGCTGTGCGAGCGGAGCCTGGAGGAGCTGATCCAGTACGTGGCGGGACTGCGCCGGGAGATCCTCCAGAGCGAGAGTAGGTGTCCCCGTTCTTGGTCGTCCCTTGTAACGGCGGACTTTTAATATTTTTTTTATATTTTTTTAAACGAATGGTCTCCTCCTGTAGTATTAGGAGAGCCTTGACAGGCAGAAATTCAGCCGGTGAAGCCAACTCCCAACGGTGCTCTAGGTCTGGGGCTGCCACTCACTGAGTCTGTGCTTCTCGGGGACCTTTAATCCCTGCGTTGTCGTGAACGTGCCTATAACCGTACGGTTTTCAGACTCCAGTTTGTTGCCTTTGTGCATTGTTCCTTAGACTTTCCTTTGGAATAACCTGGTATATAAGGTTTAAAAACAACGTTTATCTCTAGGCTAGATTTCGTCGGACTGCTGTTAAAGACACAGGCGCTGGGCCAGTTAGGGAACATTGCAACCCTATACCTACCCTTTGTTTTCGCTCTGTAGTGCCTTTGTGCACAGTGTTGCATCACCCGACCCTCTTCTTCTCAATCCCTTTGATTAATCCCATTTCTCCCCTTTAAATGTTGGATATGCTGTTTTTACATGTGTCTTAGGATTCCATTTGCTTGGTTTGACCATGTTTTTTCCTAGTAAAAACACACTCTTTCTCTCCTGCTCCTATTAACTTCTGAACCTCTAGTTTCCCCTAGAATTCTTTACCAAACTGTATTTTTCTCCAAGCAATATGTTGTATTACAGAGGATATTTAGAGAGTTGTCATTTGTTTTTTTTCCCCATTTCCTTGCTTTCTTCCTCATCCACCCTTTGTCTTGATGGTGCTAGAGAAAGGCTTGTTACCTGTAACATTTTTGCCATAGTAGCAAGAGGAAAAATCTATATCCTTTCTACTTCTCCCCTGCAGCAATAGTAGGGAGGATGTGTATACTTGTTAGGAATACTTATGGCAAATCATGTGGCATTAATTTTCTGGCATATTATGCACTGCCTTTTTCACAAATTTGCAACTTGGGTGTGCTCCTAGATTTTTCCTTGAGCCCAGATCTCTGTGTTGGCCTGGAGTACATTTACTCAGTTAAAACTAATGTGTCAACTGTGCCTATTCCTGGAGATATCTGACCTGGTTCGCAACTTGGGTGTGCTCCTTGAGCCCAGATGCCCAGGTCTCTGTGTTGGCCAGGAGTACATTTACTCAGTTAAAACTAGTTTGTCAGCTGTGCCTATTCCTGGAGATATCTGACCTGGCCACTGTGACACATGCCTTAATTACATCCTGTTTGGATTACTGTAGTACACTTTATATGGGGCTGCCTTTGAAAAATGCTTGAAAACTTTAGCAGCTCTAAAATGTTGCTGCCAGATTGTTAACTGGAGCTAGTTAGAGGATCACATACTTCTCCTTTTACAATAGCCCCACTGGTTGTTCTGTTTCCTGTCCCAAATCAAACTGCTGGGTTTGGCTTACAAAGCTTTAAATGATTTGCATCTATGTTACTTGAAATACTTGATCTCCCTGTATAAGTTTGCCCAAGATACCAAATTATTGCGGAAGGCCTTTCTCTCTGTCCTGTTACCCTTATAGGTGTGTTTGCTGGGGACCCGGGAGGGGGCCTTCTCTGTTGCTGCTCCCAGACTCTGGAACCCCCTCCGGCAGAAGGCAAGACTGTCCTTCTCTTTGCTGTCAGTCCACAGGCAGGCAAGGACCGTTCTCATCAGGCAGGCTTTTTCTCGGTAATTAGCTGCATAAGAGGTTCCCCCTTCTAGTTTTTATGTTATTTGTTTTAACACTGTGAGCTGCTTTGGTTAAAGCTACAAATTAGAAATTTTGTTAATTTGTTAAGTTGAACAATTAAATTTTGTTAGCACAATCTTCCCAATCTTCGTCCAAATTTGAACTTCAGATGGTCTGTTACTTAGGGTTCAATTTGGTTTAGGAGCTGTCCTATTTAATTCTACGTGGTGGCGCTGGAGGGATGTGGTGGCGCTGTAGGCTAAACCGCAGAAGCCTGTGCTGCAGGGTCAGAAGACCAAGCAGTCGTAAGATCGAATCCACGCGACAGAGTGACCGTTCTCATCAGGCAGGCTTTTTCTCGGTAATTAGCTGCATAAGAGGTTCCCCCTTCTAGTTTTTATGTTATTTGTTTTAACACTGTGAGCTGCTTTGGTTAAAGCTACAAATTAGAAATTTTGTTAATTTGTTAAATTGAACAATTAAATGTTGTTATCACAATCTTCCCAATCTTCATCCAAATTTGATCTTCAGACCGTCTGTTACTTAGGGTTCAATTTGGTTTAGGAGCTGTCCTATTTAATTCTACATACAGTGCTCATTATTAGGATAGTTTCAAATGGATAGTGATACTTTATGTTGTCTGTTTTTGACATTTTTGAGGTGATGTGGACCAAATAATTGTTTTTTTGGAAATGGTTTCCTAAGATCTGTATCATTATTAGGATAAGTTTCAAATGGATAGTGAAACTTTATGTTTTCTGTTTTTGACATTTTTGAGGTGACGTGGACCAAATAATTGTGTTTTTGGAAATGGTTTCCTAAGATCTGTATTTAATTAGCTGTGATATATAAACTTTTGGCTTTGTTTGTTTTTTAATTGCATACAAGAGGTATAGTACATTGAAAGCTGACTTAATTTTCCTGATGGACCTTAGTTTGGGGATAAGAATACACCTCTATTGTTCTGAAATGAGAAAAAAAGAGAAGACAATTAGTTTTGAGATGCAAAAAATCCAGTACTTTAGTTTGACCCTTTGTGACATTGCATTCTTGACCTCTTTTAATCATATGATTATGAGTAAAATGGAAGCATCATTCTGGTTCCATAGCAGTGCATAGAATTACTCTTTCACCATATAGAATAATTATATTACTCATCACTGGTTCCTGAACAACCTTGAGAGTCAACAAAGTTAAATGGAAGTCCATAATAACAGGTTTCCTGGCTTTCTCAGCTGCACAGACTTAGACAGACCTTCTGTAGAAAAGACTGAAGAGACTGTATGTAAAATTCTGTGCAAGGTACCAGTGAGGCTTTTAAGCATTCAGTATTTTATCTGGAAATATTTATTTTGCTGTTATGTAGTCCCAATTAAATCTGTATTCTTTGGGATTTAGATAGATATTATTCATGGGATTTTAACAGAGCATTAAGCTTATTAATACAGTACCTGACAAAAGGGCCCTGAACAATTTGGTGCTGAGTGTGAATACAAATCTCATAACCAGACTGTTTCAAGTGCTGCTTTGAGATAATATGTATGGAGTCCCAGGCACACTTCTAAAAGTCCTTACTTGATCACCGAAGAAACTGCTGCCCTGTTTATGTGATTGTCAGACAAGTTTTCCCAGTATTTCTAGGTGGGGGCTGTTGAGACACCCCATTTCTGTTATTGCTACAGTTCATCCATTTTTGAGTGTTTTGGATACATGACTTGCTGCTTGATTTTTTTATTGAGACTCTTTGTAATTATTCTTTGATTGTCATCCTTCTGTTAAAACTACCAGAAACACAGTTTATGTATATCTGTATGTATTTGTACAGTCACATGTAAGGGGTTAGATCCAGGCTAAGATAGGTGAATGTGGATTGCATTGAAATCAAAGGAACGAATAAGCTACGACTTACTGAAATCCTATTTATTTCAGTGGTAAGAAAGGTCAGCTAATTTAAAGAAAAGAATCTTAAGTGGGGATGTGGAGAATTTCATGAATGGATTTCACACCATGTTGGTTCACTCTCAATCATGGTTTATTGTTGTTTAGTTGTTAAATCATGTCACTCAATCATGGTATGTTGTTGTTTGGTCATTAAGTTGTGTCCAACTCTTCATGACCCCATGGACCAGAGCACACCAGGCCCTCCTGTCTTCCACTGCCTCCCGGAGTTGGGTCAAATTCCTGTTGATAGCTTCAAGGACAATGTTCAACCCTCTCGTCCTCTGTCGTCCCCTTCTCCTCTTGCCTTCACATTTTTCCAACATTAGGGTCTTTTCCAGGGAGTCTTCTCTTCTCATGAGATGGCCAAACTACTGGAGCCTCAACCTCAGGATCTGTCCTTCCAGTGAGCACTCAGGGTTGATTTCCTTTAGAATTGATAGATTTGTTCTCCTTGCAGTCCAGGGGACTCTCAAGAGTCTCCTCCAGCACCACAATTCAAAAGCATCAATTCTTCGGAGGTCAGCCTTTTTTATGGTCCAGCTCTCACTTCCATAAATTGCTACTGGAAAAACCATATCTTTGACTATGCGGACTTTTGTTGGAAAGGTGATGTCTCTGCTTTTTACGATGCTACCTAGGTTTGTCATTGCTTTCCTATCAAGAAGCAGGCGTCTTAATTTCAGTGCAGATGCTGTATCTGCAGTGATCATGGAGCCAAAGAAAGTAAAATCTGTCAGAATCATGGTAGGTGCTGGTATAGGTCATTGGCGCGAAGAACCTGGCTCTGAAGGCAGACTTGAGAACTTGAATCCCCATAGTGCCTCCTGGGAGAAGGGTCAGCCAAGATTACTCGAAGCATGTATGGCTGATGGGGTTATGTGTTCTTCTGCCTGCACAGCCTTGGGTAAGATGTATGGGCCCAGAGCACCAGCAGAAAAGGGACTGGCAAATTCCATCCGCTGCTTGTGAGTACTTTACACTTGGATTTATAAAAGGCTCGCCATAAGTTGGAATTGACATGGCAGCTCATATTTGCAGTTCTTGTAATAACAGTAAAGGGGAAAGAGCTGTTATGTTTCAGGATTGGCATATCTGATAGGACACATCTTGGACTTATCTGAGGAAACCAGAGTACTGTATCTCTGAAGTGTCTTTGGGGAGGGTTCTACTCAAAGGCAAGTTTCATCTTAACTCTGCCTCCTCTTCCATTAACATTGAGAGAAGTGGGATTGCATATTTAATTTGGATAAACCCCACAATATTTATGTCTTAAAGTAAATTTGGAATTGATAAGAGCCATATCGAATTTATTTCCTCCTTCATGTGTGTCCATTTTTTAAAAAGCTTAGTACAAGGGTTCTTCCATGGTTTCAGCGTTTATTGAAAATTTACTTCTGTTTCTTGCTCCCCTTGGATGTGTGGAACTTTTCTTACTTTCTGTTTGTCTTTCTTTGTGTCTTCATACCAGTAGTTTTTATGAATGAAGTCTGGTTTCAAGTGGTCCCTTCATACAAATTTAGGTAGTTTTGCAAGCTAGGAAGCGTTGGCTACTAGGGTGGGTGTAGCAACAGTTGCTACTGTTTGGTCTTTCCAAGGAGTTCCACTTCAGGATCTACAGTCCTCCTGGACCCTCTGAAGAGAAAGTATTAACGATGGCTCAGAGATACCATCTCTTTACTACTGTGAAGTATTGCAATTTTTCTTCTTCTCTTGTGTTACCATTTGGTGTAGAGAAAAGGTTAATATTCTGGAATAAACCAGCATGTTTCTTTGATTATTATGAGCCAACGTTTCTAGTCTAAAATAAAGACTGATATTTTATTTTGTGCTTCAGTAGTTTGAGAAAACTGATATGCTACACTAACCTATGTCTACTTCTTGCTAGTTTTGTTTTCAATTGAAAACTTCTACTTTTTTCCATAAAAATACAGTATTATTTGTAATACTCTGTGTGTGTGTGTGTGTGTGTGTGTTCTTGCTTTGCAGTTGTATTTCCAAATTAGTGTAATTGGGCAGATCTTCTCAAAGATAAAATAACGTCTCCTTTGCTGTTTCCCAAGTTCCTCAGTTTACTTCTCTCTTGGCCTTGGGGGCTGGAATTTAAGTGACCCCTGCTCATTAGGACTGTTGTTTCCAAGAGTCAGATCCTATATGGAACCTTGTTACCGCGTATATACATGTTCTGTTTGTAGGAACCTGGTACAGCTTCTTTTCCAGATAAGCAACAATTGATGATATTCTGTATTAACACACCAAGTATAGACAGGACTACAGTGAGTCAGATACTATATACTTTCCCATGTGTATTTGAAATACTAGTGAAATCTGAGACGGAAACGCTGTTTCACCCCACCTTGTATTCCATTCTCCACAGTATGGCATTTTATATCTCAGGAATGAGCATGACATGTTCATAATACAATTTGTTCTTTGTTTTCCTGTCTTCTCTCTAGATCAAGATGGCGACTTATCAGGGACAATATCACTTGTTATGACACAGTGTTGTAAACGAATAAAGGACACTGTTCAAAAATTGGCCTCGGATCATAAGGACATTCACAGCAGTGTTTCTCGTGTTGGAAAAGCTATTGACAAGGTAATGATATAATTACTGTTATTGTATCAAAGTGTTTGACATTTCTGATTAGTTAATAATAAACTTAATAATTTCAGTGGGTCCATTCTAAATGTGATAATGGCTAAAGTCTTACTGCTTAGTGTAGTAAATTGCACTGTAGTAGACTGATTTAATCAGTAGGAATTTGATGAGCCAACCTTTCTGTAAATTCCACTGATTTAAGTAAACTTACTCTAGTGTGATTTAGTGTGCTGAGCAACAGTATTTTGGCCACTGTCCAGTACTGTTCGTTTATGCTGAAAAATTTTTGTTCACACTTGACTGGACATGTGTAGTCTTTAGATCAGGGGTTCCTAAACTTTGGTTCCCCAGATGTTCCTGGACTATAACTCCCAGAAATCCTGGCCACCACAGTTATTGGAGAAGGCTTCTGGGAGTTTTAGCCCAAGAATATCTGGGGACCCAAGGTTGAGAACCTGCTCTAGATGCTTTTGGTCCTTAACTCTCATCAGATCTAGCCAGTTGTCACCATCTGCAGTGATCATAGAGTCCAAAACGTAAAATCTGTCACAATCATGGTAGGTGCTGGTATAGTTCATTGGAGTGAAGGACCTGGCTCTGAAGCCAGACCCGAGAGCTTGAATCCACACAGTACCTCCTGGGAGAAGGGCCAGCCAAGATTACTCGAAGCATGTGTGGCTGATGGGGTTATGTGTTCTTCTACCTGCACAGCCCTGAGTAAGATGCATGGGCTCAGAGTGCCAGCGGAAAAGGGACTGTCAAATTCCATCTGCTACTTGTGAGTAGTTTACATTTGGATTTATAAAAGGGTTGGCATAAATTGGAATTGACACGGCAGCTCATAATTGCAGTTCTTGTAGTAACAATAAGGGGGAAATAGCTGTACTGTTTCAAGATTGGCATATTTGGTGGGACACATCTTGGACTTATCTGTGGAAACCAGAATATTGTATCTCTGAAGTGTCCTTTTGGGGGGGGGGGCTACTCAAAGGCAAGTTTCATCTTAACTCTGCCTCCTCTTCCATTAACATTGAGAGAAGTGGGGATTGCATATTTAATCTGGATAAAACCCACAGTATTTATGTCTTAAAGTAAATTTAGAATTGATAAGAGCCACATTGAATTTATTTGCTCCTATATGGGCATGTGTGTCCCGTTTGTTTTCTTTTTAAGCTTAGTACAAGGGTTCTTCCATGGTTTCAGCCTTTATTGAAAATTTATTTCTGTTTCTTGCTCCCCTTGGATGTGTGGAACTTTTTCTTACTCTCTGTTTGTCTTTCTTTGTGTCTTCATACCAGTAGTTTTTATGAATGAAGTCTGATTTCAAGTGGTCCATTCATACAAATTTAGGTAGGTTTGCAAGCTAGGAAGGGCTGGCGTCTAGGGCAGGTGCAGCAACAGTTGCTACTGTTTGGTCTTTCCAAGGAGTTCCACTTCAGGATCTACAGTCCTCCTGGACCCTCTGAAGAGAAAGGATTAAGACAGCTCACAGATACCATCTCTTTACTACTATGAAGTATTGCAATTTTTTCTTCCCTTGTGTTACCAGTGGGTGCAGAGAGAAGGTTAATATTCTGGAATAAGCAAGCATGTTTATTTGAATATTATGAACCAAAGTTTCTAGTTCAGAATAAAGACTGATATTTTATTTTGTGCTTCAATAGTTTGAGAGAAGTGATAAGCTACACTAACCTATGTCTGCTTCTTGCTAGTTTTGTTTTAAATTGAAAACTTCTACTTTCTTTCCATGAAAATACAGTATTATCTGTAATACTCTCTCTCGCTCTGTGTGTGTGCTTGCTTTGCAGTTGTATTTCCGAATTAGTGTAATTGGGCAGATCTTCTCAAAGATAAAATAACATTTCCTTTGCTGTTTCCCAAGTTTCTTATTTACTTCTCTCTTGGCCTTGGGGGCTCACAGAGGTTTGACATGAAGGCCAGGAATTCAAGTGACCCCTGCTCATTAGGACTGTTGTTTCCGAGAGTCAGATCCAATATGGAACCCTGTTACCGCGTATATACATGTTCTGTTTGTAGGTACCTGATACAGCTTCTTTTTCAGATAAGCAACAATTGATGATATTCTGTACAGTATTAACACACCAAGTATAGACAGGACTACAATGAGTCAGATGTTATATTATAATTTCAACTCAACTGCCATATACTTTCCCATGTGTATTCGAAATACTAGTGAAATCTGAGACAGAAATGCTGTTTCGCCCCACCTTGTATTCCATTCTCCACAGTATGGCATTTTATATCTCAGGAATGAGCATGACATGTTCATAATACAATTTGTTCTTTGTTTTCCTGTCTTCTCTCTAGATCAAGATGGTGACCTATCAGGGACAATATCACTTGTTATGACACAGTGTTGTAAACGAATAAAGGACACTGTTCAAAAATTGGCCTCGGATCATAAGGACATTCACAGCAGTGTTTCTCGTGTTGGAAAAGCTATTGACAAGGTAATGATATAATTACTGTTATTGTATCAAAGTGTTTGATATTTCTGATTAGTTAATAATAAACTTAATAATTTCAGTGGGTCCATTCTAAATGTGATAATGGCTAAAATCTTACTGCTTAGTGTAGTAAATTGCACTGTAGTAGACTGATTTAATCAGTAGGAATTTGATGAGCCAACCTTTCTGTAAATTCCACTGATTTAAGTAAACTTACTCTAGTGTGATTTAGTGTGCTGAGCAACAGTATTTTGGCCACTGTCCAGTACTGTTCGTTTATGCTGAAAAATTTTTGTTCACACTTGACTGGACATGTGTAGTCTTTAGATCAGGGGTTCCTAAACTTTGGTTCCCCAGATGTTCCTGGACTATAACTCCCAGAAATCCTGGCCACCACAGTTATTGGAGAAGGCTTCTGGGAGTTTTAGCCCAAGAATATCTGGGGACCCAAGGTTGAGAACCTGCTCTAGATGCTTTTGGTCCTTAACTCTCATCAGATCTAGCCAGTATAAGCCAAATGGAAGGAACTACAGGAGTGGCAGTTGCACATTCTTTGTGAGAAAAGGTACTTTTGAATTCTGAAAAGCGGCAGAGGCATTTCTAGTTATCGTCTTGTTGCAACAGCTTTGATGGTTGCCCACCATTTATAAGCCAAGTTAAAAATACCCTCCCATCTTCCTTTAAAGTAAGGGTGAGGAATATGTGCATCCCAGATGTTATGGCATCGCAGATCCCACAATCCCTCACACATTGGTTGATGGGGATTGCAATTCAGCAACATCTGAGGAAGTTACCTGTTCCACACCTGTACTGTACTTTAGAGCGTCTAGTGGCTTGGATTTGGGCCAGGCTACTTCCAGGATTATCTTCTCACATTTGAACCAACCCATTCACAAAGCTTCTGGAGAGGCTGTACTTTGCATCTCTCCAACTCTGCATTTCATTTGAGGGCCTTCTTAGTTAGTCATCTGGGCTTTGGAATTTCCATCTGAGGGAAGCAGAGGTTGAAGATCCAGCCCTTTTGTCAGGCAGAACAGTTTCTTGGGGCTTTCTGAGCAATATGTAGCCATGACTGAGTTTGTTTGGAATGGCAATATGATTATCCAGCTCCAAGAAGTCATAAATGGTGATTAAAAGCTAATAGTATCTAAAAATTGTCATTTTTAAAAAACAGAAACAGACCATTATGCGGTTTATGTGCATAATGCTTTGTGACTTGCTTACTCATAAGGTCAAGGGAAAAGATTTCACATGTTAAAGTGCGTCCATCCACTACCCTACTGCCTGTGTCTAACAGAGCAGTCTTATGCTCCTACTAAACCAATGTAGCAGCTGCTGGTTATGTCAGCATAATGTGGTCAAGAGAATATCCTCTTTAGCCAGAGATAATGGAACAACATCAGCAGTCTGTCCTGCAGCATCCATGGCAACTCCTCCACCCAGCAATCATGTTATTAGATGCCAGTGGTACTCCCATACTGTCTGTGCATGGAAAGGACCATGCAATGTGCTGTAGCAGCTGAATGCCTCCAGTGATGTAACCATGCCCAGCATGCATGTAAAACGCAGCTTAAAAGCCTTAACACCACAGCACCTTCCTCAATGCAAATGCAAACGCAGCGAGCAGGAGCCCAGCAACTGCCACAGACGACTGTATATTCCAGAGCTCTCTCTGTGCAAAGTAGGAGTCCATGGGTAGCACTAACATAAACTGTCTATCAACAACAATCCTTTTGATGCAGGGCAGGGCCAGGCACAGGGCCAGAAGCACAGGCATGCTCATCACAACACTCATATTAGCAAATTCTCCAAATATGGGGACCTTGAAAGCACTATTAGGGTTGCTATAAGTCTGTCCTGACTTGACAGCACAGAACACATGCTAGTTACAATTAACGCAGACCCATTTGAGTCTCACAAAATCCCCATTGATCCTGCTCTAGCACAACTTACTATATGAAGCAACAGGATTTTGGCCATTGTTTATGATTAGAGAAGATGAGTTCTGTAGGCACTTGCAAAATGTTTAATTTAACAATCTAATCTGGCCTTTTCTTTCTTTTCTTTTTTTTGTAAATTGTAAGATACTGCCAAAGCTCCTCTGGTTTAGGTGACCAAAATGTATGGTTGTCATGTTGTCTAGCAATATATCCTCATAAATCTAGTGTAAAATCTGACATAGTGTGGTATATCATAATTGCATGATCTAATAGTGCCCAAATACTTCCCCTTTACATCGTAAGGCACATGGGTGAATCCAGTGTTAGTTTCTGTGGATATATAGGCTAAAAGACAAAATATGAAAATGTACAAATATTACAAGAAGGATATTCCCAGATCAGTTGCTGTTTTTATATAAAACATTTGGTACATTTCAAAAGGCAGGTAATTGGAACCTGTGCCATGTGTGGAAACCTGTGTTTAAAGCAGAAGAACTCTTGTTATTATTTCACAGAATTTTGACTCTGACATCAGCAGCGTGGGAATCGATGGATGCTGGCAGGCTGATAGCCAGCGAATTTTGAATGAGGTGATGGTAGAACACTTTTTCCGGCAAGGGATGCTGGATGTGGCTGAAGAGCTTTGTCAGGTAATTGCTGCTAAAATAAAGGATTCCAGAGAATAACATTAAACCCATTATATATTTTTATTCAAATGGAATACTGCTGTGAAAAATATTACTTTGCCTGTCTGTAAAAATGACAGCTGTGTGGGCTTTGTATTTCAGGAGTCTGGACTTTCTATAGACCAAAGTCAAAAGCAACCGTTTGTGGAGCTCAACCGAATACTGGAAGCACTTAAAGTCAGAGTTTTGAGGCCTGCATTAGAGTGAGTTACTAAGCTGTTTTGAAAGTCTTCAGAAGAAAAAAGTAGAAATATTGGAATTCTCTCTTTTAAGAAATCCAATTACATTGAGGTTTATAGGTGAATAAATTGTTAATGAAATGTGTGACCTATTTTGGCTAGACTGAGATTCCAAGCTCAGATTAAGCTAATCTGCAGTAATGGTGTCCAGTAAGAGAATATGCTCAGTCAGCACATGGGGAAGGCAGCAATGTCTCCACCAGTGGTCAGAATTTGGCAGAGTTCCTAGATAGTGGAGCAGGCTTGCTCATTTTCCAAGCTGAAATCCTCAAAACAGAGCCTGTTTTGAAAGTGGGCATTGCAGTCGTGCTTCCATGTTTGTTTCTGGTCTCACTTGGGAGTTTACAAGAACATGGAAAGCCCTGACTGAGATGCTGAGCATGGGAGATTACAGATAGTTCCTGTGTTTTACTTTGAAGAATGGAGAGAGGTGCTTAGATGCGTTCCAGTTTCACTCGAGTGGGTGAGAGGTGCTATCTGCTGGTGTGCTCTGGGCAATAAATTATACGGTGCTAGCCCTCTCTCTTCCCCAAAGCACCATAATGAAGTTCACCCAATATTTTCTTACGATACACATTTTTAACATGTTTTGCTCCCTTCTCCTCACTGTGTGAGCTTTCCTGTGCTGGTTCGGTTGTTCTTCCCAAATTATCACATGTCTGTGCTTCCCCCAAGTTATATATCCATTGTGTCACTTTAGAGAGGAAGGGTAGGCTGAGTGCCCAAGGCAGACTCAAATTGAAGGGAGGAAGGACAGAGAGCTCAAGTGTCTCCTGCAGTCGCCATGTCGTCCTGGGTCTCAGGACTACTTGCCTTTACCTCACAGACTGCTATTTATTTTCTTCTTGTTTTGGCTACAACAGTTTTGTATTTTTGTAAGCTTCTACAAGACAGAGATTTCCACAGAAGTAGCTGTTGGCCATAGCATGATTTTGAGGAAATCTGTCCTTTTTCCAAAATGGCTGCTTTTAAAACTAGTACCTGATAATTAACCCAACACAAATAGTGTATGCCCCAATTGTTTGGAACAAAATAATGGATAATAAGAGAACGTGTAACTACATCCAGATAAAGTGCCATTCCTATCTACCCATTTTGCCTAAAGAATGTTTGGCAAATCATCACACTGTGCCTTTAATTTAAAAACTACAGGTTTTGAGGCTCCCAAGGATTCACTTTTGTGCTGGGAAAGCCTTTGGGAGCTTTTGTATGGGGCGGAGTGGAGGGGACTTTAGAACTGGAAAATTGCTGCCATCTCTGTGCCTGCTTTTGACATGTAGAATTATGAGTGTTCAAGAATTTGAAATGAATTAATTTTACCCAGCCTTTTAGAAGTTTTCACAGGAGTTGCTCAGAGTGTGTTATATGTATGGGTTTTTTTTTGGGGGGGGGGATATGATAGGGGGAAATCCTTTGTGTTTAGGGAACAGGAAAAAACCTGCATATTAATGTACTATATTTGAATAGAACAAATGAACAAATAATGATGTATGTTTACTTCTGTTGTGAATTCAGCTGGAACCTAATTACATGAAGTCTGTGTATTTTCCCTTGCACAAAATCCAGCTTGAACACACATTTGTATCAAATATTGCTCTCTGATCACTAAGCATCAAGCAAGCTGCTAAAATGCAGAGAGATGGGGTTCAGACTTCAAGATTTAGCTCTGACTAAGCACATGATGACTTGCCCTTTGTAACTTTAGGTCTCCTTTATTGTCTTGTTTCAAATGCTCATGTTCCTATAAGAGAACTGGTTCAGAGACAGTGCTGTCCTGGTGTTAATCCCATTTTATGGGAGAATTTGCAGGAATAACGGATCTATTTTGTGTTCTCCCTTTTCTCTTTCTCTCTCTTTCACACGCTAATATATGCACAGAGACATGCAGCTTTTGTTTGTATATAATTAAAAGAATAATGACATAGGTAGTTTTGAAAATGCATGCCTAGAGATTCTGTTTTTACCCTTGAAGTAAAAGAGAGGAATAGAAATAATTGCTCTGCATGCAAATGTTAACTGTTTTTTCTCCTCTCCTCCACTGTTCTGTATTGTTATGTAACAGCTGTCTAGCATTGTGGCCCTGAATGCACATATATGTAGAAATATGTTGCAGTGATATTGTTGCCATATGTACTTCAAAACTAAACATAATAGCTGGAGGTAACTTCAGCCCTGTGGCACTCTCACACTGAACCACTCCTCCAGTAAACAAAATATAGGAAGCTTCCCGAAGTGTGGGCTGAATAGCATTGACATTTACTTATGGAATAATATAAGTGGAATGAATGCATAGCTTGGCTAATTAGAGGATGTTAATGAGGATAATTCCCCATTAATTAAAAAATAATCCATAGGATGTATTTCTTTAACAGTCTTGCAAATAATTTCACAGAAACTATATTGAAACTTTTCCAGTAAGTATGACAGAATGCATAATATTTTTGATCAGATTTTAAGGCAAGTATCAAGTTGATGACTGCCATTCCCTCTTAAGATGAACCACTGTTTCTTTCACTCTGTGTTATATCGTTTCTTAGGTGGGCTGTATCGAATAGAGAAATGCTTATGGCACAGAATAGCTCCTTAGAATTTAAGCTACACAGACTATATTTTATTAGTTTATTAATGGGCGGAACTGCAAATCAGAGAGAAGCATTGCAGTATGCTAAAAACTTTCAACCCTTTGCTCTTAACCATCAGAAAGGTAAGCTGCTTGAAATTATTTCTGTACAGGAATTTGTATTCGTAGGTTAAAAGTGGTGCTTTCAATTGAAATCACTACATGCATTTCCTTGCTGTGTGCAGTTTTGTGACCATTTCATAGATCCTGGAGAATCATGGGCTCCTGCTTCAAGTTGCATATTCCTGTAACATTTTTTGGCACAGGCTTGAACACTGCTACCAAAATATTTGTTTTAAAGTATGAAAATAAGCTTGGCAACAATTTTTATAGTACATTAAGAGTATAACCTAGCTGGACAAATTGCTTATATTTTTATTAGAGGATTAAGCATCACCTAATCTGTTGTGTTAAACTGATTTGCATGATCCTAAAGTTATTGTAACATTTTCTGTATATCCAGAACAGTGTTTTCCCACCTGGGCGTCATGAAGTGTTTTCTGGGGAGGGGATCATGTTACATGTGTTGTATCCCTTGTTTAATAATTTCTTCCTTGAACTTTCAGAGTGAGATGGTAAAGTTAGTGTGTATGTGTGTGTCTGAGAAAGAGGCTTGTCGTGGGGAGACAGATGCCTCTACTTTCTGAGAAGGGATGATTTTACTTCACTAAAAATGCCTTTTTATGCAACCGTGCCGGAGTGGTGGGGTCACAGGTTACTCGGCTATTGTAAAAGGGGGTCATGACTTGGAAAAGGTTGGGAACCACTGATATTGAAGATTCTGTCGATGCTGTCTGCTGAATGGGGAGGTCCCGAGATGGAGGAATTCTGTTTTAGTTCTGATGTGTGTGAATTGTTAAGATGAGGACTCAGTAGTTTTACTGTGATTTAATTCAGCAACATCCCTCAAGATAGGTGTATAGGAGAAAATGAAGGAATAAATGATTGTTTTGTGTAACTTTTGAAACAAGACCGCTACTTCTTAAAAGGTTTGACTGATGATAATTAGCCTGCCTGTGGATGTCTATCTCAGATGCAAGAGTTTAGGAAAATCAAATTTTAAAAATGTATTCAGCTTGCTGTGATTGATGGTCATCAGTAACCATGATTTATTTGGAATTAGCACAATCTGCTGCAAGTCTTGGCCAGTCTGTCTCCTAAACCTGCCAAACTGTGATTAACTGGTTTATCTGAAACAGGCCAACTTCATAATCTGTTTTGAAGTTTATTTGTTTCAGACAAATCACAGTTATGAGTAGCCACAGTTTGTTGTTTTTAGGCAAATAGACAAACTATGATTAATAATAATAACAATACAGAACTGACTGCTGCTGAACTCCTCATGATAACAATGAAAGATGAAAGGGAAGGTGGAAGGCTACAAATTTCTGGTTTGTTGCATCTTTTTCTCGTCACAAGCTTAGTAGGACCTTTCATTCAGAATGGCCCTAGCCTTCAGGACTTCCTGTTCAAATTGTGTGGTAAAATGTGTGTATTGGAAAGATCTCCGTTCTGCCTCTGTGACATCTCTGGGTAGTCATTTAATGTGCAAAGTGCCATACAGATGTGTGACATTATTATGTTTGGGAATAATCTAACTCTCTCAGTTGAATTTCTATTGATTGCCAACTCCACATATTCAAGTTGTGCTTGCTTCTAGCACAAAATATCAACATCTGGATTTATCTTTTGAATATACAGTAAGGTGGGCAGAGCCCTGTTATGCTCATGCAATTCCACTGTAACTCATACATTTCAGTGGTGAATTGCTGCAAATTAAGAAGTCAGCGTAGGCATTTGCTGTTTGGCAGTGAGTCATGGAATGGTGCACAAGAGCAGATGCCCACACTGACTTCTTAATTTGAGGCAGTTCACTAACGTTTATACTGATGGGGTAAATGTTGATGGGTGTAACTACCATGATTCTGGCTGATATATCCAATAGGGATGTTCTTTTAACAACAAATATAAACATATTATTTTCTCCTTCACAGATATTCAAGTTTTGATGGGAAGCCTAGTGTACCTGAGGCAGGGAATTGAAAATTCTCCATATGTACATTTATTGGATGCAAATCAGTGGGCAGACATCTGTGACATCTTCACAAGAGATGCTTGTGCTCTCCTGGGCCTCTCTGTAGAATCACCTCTAAGTGTTAGGTATGCCTCTTTTATGTGAGATGCTTTAGCATAATGTAATACCTGGGAATGACTTCCTCCAACTAATTTTTTTGGCCCTTTGTTTGGAAGAAATGTCTACAAACAGATACCAAGACGTGGTTTGCTATAAAGATTACCTCCATTGCCACTTCCTTCCTCCTTGTTCCTGGGCTAGCATGTAAAACTGCTAACAATTAAACTTCATTTCCGCCCAGTTGTAACTCCCCAAATGTTTGTCTCCCTTGGGTGAGAGGAGGCAGATGTTGTTTCAGCTCAGTGCCCCCTGCTGATGTAGATGTACCAAGTCATTCTAGAGACAGATTGGGGACTTGATGGAGTCATAGCTAGAACCATCTTCTAGATTCACATGCTCTTGATTAATAGCTTCTCCATTCCCTCCAGCCACCCTTCCATATCACCTCAGCATGAGCTGAAAGTAGCAGTGAATTATGTGGCACTTCACTCCCCACCCCCACTTCAATATAGCTGAAATCATAAATTTGCTAGGTGAACTCAGGCAAGCCAATGGTTTTTTTGGCTTTAGTCTAGTGAGAGAAGAGGGCAGAATTTGCAGAGAATTGTATCTAGTATTAGTCTACACAGAGATGGGCAACTTCCAGAAATCCAAGGGCCACACCTGCCCTATGGGTCTCAGAGAGCTGACCTCAACATCTAGCCATTTGTTAAATGGAAAAGGCTATAAAAAGGTAGACACAGGAGGGGCTCTTCCTGAGCCATGCTTTGACCACCCAGACTTGGCAGAAAAAAGTATAAGAGGTGGCATTAGGCCACTAGTTCTTGTGCAAGTACCAGCAGAACAACTTAGCAACACGGATACTATGGAAGTCCTAATGGTTTGTCATACATCTTGTGCAATGGCTTGTTAAAATGAAATCAAATATTGGGTGTGAGACTTTTGGAAATACAGTATGAAAATAGGACTTCTACAAGCAGTAAAAGCTTTGGACTAGTGGAGTGACACAGTAGGGTGTGACAGTGAGCTACCGTATGGGATTGTTCTGAGGTTTCCTGGAATGGTAAATATGAAGGCTGTGGGGTTGAAAATGTTAAGATATTAATAATGTTACCCGTCAAAATCATAAAAAAATGTAAACGGGAGAAGAAGGGAATGGCACTATCTATACATGACACCAGCTGCAAAGACAAAAATCAGTGTATTAAGAATTTTTGTCTGTACAGAAATAAGACAGCAGTAAAAACACTAATCAACAATACCCTATAATATTAGCCACATTAAATTATAAGAATTGTATTGCAATATATTTTGACTCCCTCATTTCTCATCTGGTTTTAAAAAGTCAAGAATCGGTGATCCAGAAGTTTAATTGCTAGATTAAAGAGAAACAAGTTTTGAAAGCTCTCTTCTGGGCTTCTAATCTGGGGTGGGCAATTTTCAGAGCAGCTGGAAAGTCAGTTTGTGCTCCCTGACTGCTCTGCAGGCCACACCACCCCTTGATATATCCAGATATTCACTTCCAGTGTTGGCTTTTAGTTGGTAGGTGGTGACCAATTTTTTAAAAAAAGGCTATTCCTAGAATGGAGAATGTGTTTTTGTAGCTTTGAAAAAATTATAATAATTTGCATTGAGGTTCAGCGGAAGAGTTTCAGGGATGAACTCTCATCAGCTGACTTCTGACCTTTTTGAGAGATTCCAATATTTTTTCCTGTAATTATTTATTTGTACCTGGAGTATAATATAAAAGTATGAACAGTAAATGAAGACAGAATAAACATAAAAGGCAATAAATGCTATCACCTCTAGTAAGGCCTTTCATCATGTGTTGATGGTTTGAGGTGGCAGTATCTTATCTGCCTTGACAAAACTTCTCCAGTACTCTTTGTGTAATTGTGTGAATTTTTGTATTGCTCACATAGTTGGAGAGGGGTCACAGAACTATATTTCATGTACTCTTCTGACCCTGTCTCTTGAACATGTTTTTTATTATACCGTGTAGAAACCTATATAAGACAAGAATTTATTGCTTGCTATGTATTTGTAGCAGTTTAAGGTGCTGTGAGATGCATTTTCCTCTCCTAAATTATACCTTGCTGCTTTGTTTTTAATTCTGTCTTAACTTTGTGCATGTCAGACAAAAAGCTGAATTGTTAACCCTTATACTTAGGGCAAAGGTGCATGTTGTATTAACCTTAGAACTGAAAAGCTGGAAGGAACCCTGTGGATTAATGAATTCATCCTCTGTCAAGAAGCATAGTGATGAACCAAACTCCCAACCTCTGGCTTTGCAGCCAGATACCTAAACCACTGAGTTATCCAGCAACTCATGTCTAATATTAGAACTCCAGAACTGAAAGGCACCTTTATTTAGTCCAGCTGATGTCAGGAAGGCACAGTGGAGAATTGAAGTCCCAACCCAAACCACTGAACTATCCAGCTGTTCTTGTCTTCTTTTCTCTCTGTAGGATAGATGACATAGTAAACCCAGATCATGTCCTTCACTTTGGAGTTTGATTGTACTATATAGAACATCATATAAAGAACGTAGTAAGTCACCATGGGAAAGATCACCTTAATTCCACTTTAATTGGGTATTTTAGGAAAAAGAGCAAAAATTCTTCGAAGCCTCATGGCTATGCATTACTTGCCAATGCTGACAAAGTTCAGAATTATCTGGAGCAAAGCAAGAGTCTTGTGTGTTTTGCTACATGTACTGTACTGCTACAACAGAAATATTTAAAGATATATGTTTTTAATGCAATATTTGACTTTACTGCTCTGTTCTTCAGCTTTTCAGCAGGTTGTGTAGCATTGCCTGCTCTAATTAACATAAAAGCTGTGATTGAACAGAGACAGTGCACTGGTGTTTGGAATCAGAAAGATGAATTACCGGTGAGTAGTTTTGTTTCTGGAAGGCTAATTATTTTAATAAGTTCACACCTACTCAAACTAATAATTTCCTTTGCAGCAAGATCACTATAGAGAATTGAATCACACATTGTGGACACACTAGTGTAGTTTCCAGTTACAAATGCTATAACTTCGTGTAATGTGTCCTGCGACAAATTAAAGGGAAATGTATTTTAAGGGATATACTTTTGTGTATGAGAATCAGACTGATCTTGAGTTACGGTTTTGCACAAATTTCCTACTTTTAATTTTCTTTCTCTCATTAACATTGAAGAGAGAGTATGCGTGCATGATTTTTTTTTAGTGCTCTGGCTTTTCAAATAATAAAATATACTTCAAAATAACCAACTATTTATTGCCAGTATGCAATGTGGTGTTATTAATTTACAGATACCAAGCATTTAGATCTCTTGGAAGTTACTCACATATTAATAGACAAAATATTCACAGTGATTATAATGTTTTCTAAATTGTTTCCATCCAGTGTAGTAACAGTGTCTTGTTTTAGAAGAGAACATAAGAGATTATAAACTGTGAATTGAGTTAATATTATATCAGTCATATATTAGAGATTATAATTTGGGGGGGGGGAAATCCCCTCATGGTGTGATATTGTGGAAACCATCTTGATTACTTAATTTAAGTATCTGTTTATAGGTGATTTGAGAGGACATTCAGAAATTCATGGATAAATGTTTCATAGATCTTAGAATAAAACATGTTTTATTAGTACTGTACCATCAAGTCACATGGCATCTTTTAGAGTACAAAAAATTAAAAGGATGTTCCTGGTCCCAAGGAGATTCCAGACTAAAATTAAGTACTGTATAAGGGAAATAACAGAGAAAAGGAATGAAAGAGTGGCAAGGGTGAAAAATAAAGCAGCACGGTTAGATTTATGCTTAGTTGACTACTGAGTTATAGCAAAGTTACAGCCATTGTTCTGTCTTCAGGGGCTACACCCATAGAAGCCATAGAAACAGAAGATGAAAGCAAATAAGCAGGTGCTTTGCCTTGGTGTTAAGAGTTTCAAATCATGGTATGGGATTTAATCTCTGGAAATCCCTGGCTTATCTGATATTTTCATTGAGCAACAGAGGATCATTATTTTACAGAAAAACATAATTTACTTGAATAGTATGAGGCAACCATTAGAACTGTTGATACAAACATTTTTTGTGCAGTTCTGATTACACAAGCATTGAGTCAGTAAGCGATCTGTTAATGTTGGATTTGCTGCACACTCTTGTTTCTGGGACTCTGTCCTGGCCGTAAATCTTTTGAAGTCCAAGGACAAATTTTAATGTAGTGCTCTTGAAAATGGTGCATGTATGTTCAAGTTCTTCTCTTCCTGTTCATGGAAGAATGTTGGATGCTGGCATTGACTGTAGTGGTCATCTCTGAAAGGACAGCCACTACTGTCAGTGTCTACGTCCAGCTTTCTCCCAAGAACCTTTTATGGTACTTATCCAGGAAAGTGACATCAACAAACAGCAAGCAGAGATACTTAATGCTTTTGCAGTGCAACCATCACCGAGGGCTCTCTTATGTTTCCCTAATAACTGAGTCCTTGTTGTGGAGAGAGAGAGAGAACAGCACTTTCCCACTAAATATGTCCAAGAATAACTAGTGTAAAATTTTCATCTAAAACAGTGTTCTGCTTTTGAACAGATTGAAGTGGACCTTGGCAAAAAGTGCTGGTATCATTCAATATTTGCCTGCCCCATCCTTCGTCAGCAAACAACAGATAATAATCCACCTATGAAGTTGGTTTGTGGTCATATTATATCAAGAGATGCTCTAAATAAAATGTTTAATGGCAGCAAGTGAGTATATTTCCTTCTTATTTAGTACACAGAACTTGTGCATTTTAAAAATAAGTTGTCGAATATAACAGGTGGTCTATTGAACTTTTATACTAATAGTTACCGTGCTTCCCCCAAAATAAGACAGGGTTTTATAATAATTTTTGCTCCAAAAATGCATTGGCACTTATTTTCAGGGAATGTTTTATTTTACAGTCATGTCATCTTCCGGTTGATGCACAATGCTGCACAATGTATACTAAATCATACTAGGGCTTATTTTCAGGTTACATACTAAATCATACTAGGGCTCATTTTCAGGTTAGGTATTATTTTCGGGGAAACAGGGTACAAAGCCAGAAAAATCTACAACAATTACAACAGTACTTTAGAAGATTGTGATACAGTCTGGTTTTGCCAGAACCCAACTTTGATATTTTACACCTAACCTCTATGGGTGAATTAGATTACAACCCCCCCCCCCGGATTCCATTGGGGAGATGGGAAGCATTGTCCATTGTATCTAGAGTATGTAAGCTGGTGTGGGGAAGCTGTTTTAGCCACATGGCTTTCCAGGGCACAGAACATGTCCTGATGGTGGGCTTCCAACAGATAAATGGGTTGATTGGTCACTATGGGAACAGAATGCTGAGCTATATATAGTAGCTTTTGGTAAGGGGTCCATTCTATATGGTGTGTTCTTATAATCTTAATTATACATCTCACTGAATGGATTGGGTTTTCTATATAGTGTTATCCTTTGACAATAAGGTTTATCAAGTGAAACATCTCACTGAATGGATTGCCAACGTTTGGGTTTTCTATATAGTGCTATCCTTTGACAATAAGGTTTATCAAGTGAATTAAAATAAAAGTCAAGATAGTTATAAATATGCATATGTATAACTGCTTTTACTAAACAATTCGGTGACATGAATCTTCTCCCTGAGTGTTCCTCCACCCTGCTTTCCATGGAATATGCATTTTAGATAGAAGGCCTTTGTTGGACCTTCAAGGTAGAAGGGGGCTACAGGTACTCTGGCAGTAGTTGTTGCTTGCGTTTAGCTCCATGGTCCTCCCCACCCCTGTCTCTGTGTTCATGCTTTAGGTAGTGGGGCATGAGAAACATTGGGGGGGCATCAAAGTGGTTTTTTCCTCTTTCATTAGAAGAAGCTGAGATTTCTCTGTAGGGTTCCTTTGAGGATCTAGATAACTATTTTGCCTGAGCCTGGATGGCCAGGTTTCAATGGTGGCCATGAATGCCTTTGTACAGTTAAACCTAGTGTGCTAACTGAACCTGTTTCTTGAGAGTTCTGAGCTGGCCACAGTCACACATGCCCTAGTTACATCTTGGCTGGATTACCATAGTGTGCTCTGTGAGGCTGCCTGGGTATTAAAATCATGAGAGGAGGCCTTTCTCTTCGTCCCACCACCTTCAAATATGCGCTTGCTGGTGACATGGGAGAGAACTTTCTCTGTTGCTATTCCCAGACTCTGAAATTCCCTCCCATGAGAAGCTAGGCTGGCTCCATCTTTGTCGTCCTTCCACAAGCAAGCAAAGACTTTTGTCTTTAGGCAAGCTTTTCCTTATTGACTGTTGGTTCTGAGAGGGTTTTTTAAAATGTGTTTTAGTATTGATATTATTTACAATTTTTAATATAATACTTAATTCTTTTAAAATATTGGCACACTCACTGTTTTTAGCTTTTAAATACTGTCATTTTAATGATGTAAGATGCCTTGGGTCCTTTTTAAGGAGAAAGATGGTAAAATTAATTAATGTGGAGTCAGTTTGTTGGTCCATTAAACTTCTCACTGTAGAATCTGACTGGCAGCAACTTAAAGTTTTAGGTCAGAACTAAATATGGCAATGAACACAACTCATGACCTTTAGGTAGTCCTGTCTGGAGTTCTCCCTTCTTGGCCACACAATAACTGAAATCTTGTTTTATAGCACAGTACACTGCTCTAACTTGGTCCATTGAATCAGTGGGGATTTAATGACTCAATTCCTCCATATGTTTGATTCGGCCTTACTCTAGTCCAGTGGTTCTTAACGTGGGCGATGGCCTTACTCTAGTCTACTGTAGTTGCTGAGGTATATTACAACTAGAGGAGACCCATTTGAATAAATGGAATACATAGAGGGTAGTTGCTGAAGTATATAAATGGAATACATAGAGGAGTTGATCCACCAAATCCCGACTGATTCAGTGAGCTGTTATATTGTGATTTCCAATATTAAGAAATGAGATTTCAGGCAATGTGTAGTTTGTGTCCCCCATCATCACATATTTGACCATGAGTAGAACTGGGAGACATGAAAATGCAGATAATTTGTGTAATTTTTTTCCTTTTATTTCTGTCTTAAAGGAGACACTGTAACAGTAATTTAACATTTCTTGTCCGATATAAAATGCTACATTATACTCTGTGTTTTTGTGTAAAATAGATTAAAAATAGACTTAAAATGAAAGTCAGGACATTTTTATAGGAATTTGAAAATAACAACAATCCAAAAACTTCAACATGTATTTGAATTAAAAGGTCAACATGTGATAGGAAATGCCAGATTGTTGCCATTTCAGTTTCCTGAGCACTTTGTTCCAGAGCTGAAAACAAACTAATGTTTTCTTTTCTTTTTAGATTAAAATGTCCCTATTGTCCCATGGAACAGAGTCCTGGAGATGCCAAACAGATATTCTTCTGAGGACGCAGATCACTGTGTAGTTTGTGTGTCTGATTTTGGAAGACTGAAGCAGGCGAACGTTCCATTTTCTGCTCTGCAAACCATGGAGGACTCCTGTGTTTTATATAAGCCTAATGCTCCAGAAGTTTTTGCCAACATTTAGTGCAGACATACAGATTGGGAAAGCTACAGAAGTAATACCTGTTATAGGGCTTTTACTCTAACCTTGGTCTTCATAAATGATCAAGATGTTACACCAGCAGTTGTCATTCAATGCAGGTTTTTGTACTTAATTGTTTGGTGACTTCACTTTTTAAAGCAGATAGCCACCAGTCATTATATAGGTCTAATAGATGACCTGCTTTCGTCACCCTGGTTGATAGATGTCACCATAAAGAATGTGTGGAAAGAGTTTTTTTTCCTTAGCTTGTAAATAATTAAGACAGGAGTGGACTTCAGAAGAAGGTTTGATAAACTGAGTAGTGGTTATGGACCTACCTGTATTTCTGTTGCGATTGTTTCCCCCCAAAGCTGTGATATTCTGAGAGCTGTTTTTGTTTTTTTTTCTGTTGAACATTTTCCAGCTTTTAAACGGAATTCCAATTGAATGTGCATCTATATGAACTGCATAAATATATAACAGAGTTCAAAACTTTCTGATTTAGAAGTATAGCAATTGAATTAGGACTCCTAACATGAGGATCCTGTTCAGTTGATTTCATGACTGAGAGCTCCTTGCATAGCTAAAAGTATTCAGTAAAGTGGAGCTCTGTACTAGCAAGACATTTTTGTCAATGGATTCTTGCTCTCCAACTTTTTTTAGTCATAATCTAAGCTTTGTATTCAAGATCAGTGTCATGTTGCTGTACAGTTTGCTAGACATGATAGTTGCATTATTTATAAAGTTATCAGAACCAAATAAACTTGTTGGTAATGTTTGTTGTTGAGATGGGGGAATATGTTTTCCAGTAATCTAAATAAAAAAGGATTCAAGTTAGGTCTTATTTTCGGGGAAAATATTGGATTGGTTCTTCACCGTCTCAGAAACGAATTTGTCTTCTATAGTTGAAAGTTATTATCATGTTCCTTTTCTACTTGTTATATTTGGTGACCAAACCTATTTAAACTGAAGACACACGGAGCTTGACTGTTATTTTCTCTTCCTAGAAGACACAAAAATTATAGTCTGGGAGAGGAGGTACTTAGAGTCTCCATATTTTCTGTATTTGTGCACTTATGATTCTCTGGGGAATGCTATGATAGATGAATTGACACATTATTTGCTGCAGATAATATCCAGTGACTGTATGATTTTAAGCTTCAGTCAAATATTTGCAAATTCCTTCAATTTCTTGTGCTTTCCTATACAGTAATAGAGAAAAGATGCCACCAGGTGTGTTACAGTGCAAAAAATAATGGATTAGTTTATGCTGTATCGAAAAACCACAAGAAGAAACCATAGTATGTATGGTTGGATACTAAAATACAGCAGCACAGTGCACTACAGAAGAATGTTTTCATGCTTTGGGCCTTGCATTCTAGAAAATGGTGAATACTGTTAAGATTTTGAACAGAAGAACAGGGTGTATAGAAAAATATACCTATATAATAATGTAACAAAATGAGCTATATCCATCCTACACTGTTAAAGAAGTCTGATACAGTGGACCCTCGACTTACAGACGGCTCGACTTACAGACTTTTCGAGTTACAGACTTCTCTGGCTGCAAAATTTAGATTCGACTTGCAACCAGAGAATCGACTTACAGACCAGAAAAAACCAAAATGGAATAACAGAAGAATGTTTTCATGCTTTGGGCCTTGCATTCTAGAAAATGGTGAATACTGTTAAGATTTTGAACAGAAGAACAGGGTGTATAGAAAAATATACCTATATAATAATGTAACAAAATGAGCTATATCCATTCTACACTGTTAAAGAAGTCTGATAAAAGTAATTATAAACAAGTGGGCATGTTTTCTGAGCAGGTTTCTAGTCACAGTGATATTATATTTTTGGAAGGGAATTGCATGCTTGTGAACTTCAGTATGCCGGATGTATATATATATCAAAGGTATATATCTTTGAACAAATACCACTATAATTTGCAGCTCTATTTAAGGTCAACATTACAGTGCAAGAATATCTGCAGAATATTTGTGCTATTGCATGTGTATAAGTTACTGTTTTCACTGGCACTTACGTCATTACATGACTGGCTTGATAAATGAGCTGTGCTTCATTCTTCTGGCCCAAAAGCCATCACAGGCTTGTGCATCTTATACATAATAATATAAGGACTGACATGGTTTTAGTGGAACCAGAGTGGTCATGGGGTTTATTCTCCCTCAAACTAGTGCTAGTTCTTAATGAATTCTAGGAGGGAAAATGGGATTGTATTCTCGAAGGCTTTCACGGCCGGGATCCAGTGGTTGTTACAGGTTTTTCGGGCTGTTTGGCCATGTTCTGGAGGTTTTTCTTCCTAACGTTTCGCCAGTCTTTGTGGCCGGCATCTTCCAAGAGCAGGAGTTAGAACTCCGAAAATGGGATTGTTACACTATTCCAGAATTCATTAGTGAGGTTGATTCACATTATCAGTAGCATGCTGGTCTAGGGTGGAGAATATAAGCTGTCGTGAATTCTTGTGACTGCTGGAATGAGTTTGTACCCTTAGAATTCCTGGATATTTTGGGGAGATTTTTAGATTTTCCATGCTTGGATACAATACTCCTACCTTGTACTGTTCTACTGTTCTTTCTTTCGGGGCTAGCCAAATGCTTCCCTTTTGGCTTTCTGTTAAGAAAAGTTGAAATCCCTTTTCATAGTGATACACCCTCCTCATTGGGAGAACAATGATTTCAGTTTACCAAAGACTTGTGTTTAAATGCTCTTGTTGTTTTAAAATCTTCTAAGCCATTGTATGATGTGTATCTCACATGCCTAGTCATACTTAGCGTGACTGTTCATGTAATTGTGTGTGAGAGACGAACAGCTGGCAAAATGCAAAAACTATTTGCGTAGTTGCTGTTACCTACAATGTATCTTTCAGTAGGATTCTAGCCAAAGTGTTCAAATTGCAGGGCTACCTCCAGGCCCACATTTATTTGAATTCTCAAATATAAGAGCTATATGCATGTCTGTGTTTTAAGCAACCATTTCCTCATTCCTTTGAGGGTGACAAAACATACAATTCCTTACAGCCATTTATTTATTTTTCTGTCAGTGAAAGATGAGGATAGCAGTGTAGAGATGAGTAATCTTGGGGATCAAGATGAAAATGGTGGTTATAGGCATGTTTTGTGCTATCTCCATGCTCGATAAATAGAAATATGCTGGAGAACACAGCAGTGTGCCTTACTAGGCGGTATATCACAAGTTACATTCTTTTCTGAGTTGAACACAAAGAACTCAGAAGCTCCTGACACCAAGATTTGATATATACTGACTGAATCAATGTGTGGGGACAATCTATAGGTAGATCTTTACTGTACATTATATTATGTATTACAGTCCACATTTACAGTAATGAGTAAAAATATTTGCTATGGTGGTTTGCTTGATTTCATTGTTTCTACATGACTTGTATGCGAAAAAGTTTGTATTTTGAGATAGTCTGATTTTTATGAGACTCACTAAAGTCGTGACAGTCCTTATATTTTAGGTAATAAACACAAAGATTTATTAGGTGAGCAAACAATAATACACAGTAAGGGCACATTGGATCTTTATTGTTTGATGCGGCTGCTTTTTCCTCATTTGAAATAGCTGTTTCAAGCAGGTGGCTTTTTAAGAAGGAACACACACACACGCATGCACGCACGCACGCTGTGGCTTTTTAAAAAGGAACACACACACACACACACACCACACTTGTTTTCTTTGGCTGTTTTCCACTAGATGCTTAGTGTGGAATTGCTAAAGTGTATTCATTTTTTTAAAAAAATGGGCATCTACATGACATCATAGTCCAGTTATTGCCATCCTGTGTTATTGCTGTGTTTCTTCCATGTGTTTTCTTCAGACCACACAAGAAGAATGGCAGACCAGCAGAATATTCACAAAGATAGATGGTTTTTGTGTGTGCAACTCTTCCTTTTAAAAAGAATACAGCTTTCATGTGGACCATGATCTCTTGGGTAGGCAAGCTAGTCAGAACTAAGCGCACATTTATTTTAACCTTTCAGGTGTGCACCCTTTATCAACCCATTCCTTTTTAAAATTGATCTTTTAATTAGCACTAAAGCTCTTTTTGACAGTAATAGTTTAAATGTGGTGAACAATTGGCTCTTTGGCTACCCACATACATGGGTATGACCACTGCAGAGGTTACAGTGAGATTCATGCTTAGCCACAAATGGCCATTCATGTACACTGAGACCTATCAGGAAAGATCAGGAAAAGACCGCATGGTTGTGGAAGCAATATAAATGTAGGAACCGGTGACACCTTTAATCAACCATTAATAACATAAAAAAAACACAGTGAGCTTTTGATGATAAATCATTTTCAAGACTGCACATTACAGCTACCCACAAGAACTTAATGCACATCCTTGAGGAACATGATTTATCATCAAAAACTCACTGTTTGTTTTTTGTTGTTTTGTTTTATATTCTTAATGGTGGATCAAAGGTATCACCTGTTCCTGCATTTGTATTGGGTCCTATGTCACACATACTCCTGTGGACAGAACCTGTGAGATGCACACCCAGAAATGGGGCCATATGCCTGATAATAATGGAAAGCCAGTCATCTGGAAGCAGCAATTTAGTACTGCTTAGCTTGGAAGGCAGTAATGACTTTGGTACAGTACAGAGACAATAAACTTGGATAACTACGATTCAGTGGGTGAAAGGCAAAGAAAGGCTCTAGATTTCCCCACAGTTGAAGACTCGACTAGACATTTCTGGACATGAACAGCTTCTGTTGCCCCATCTTGCATGCCCCTCTAAATGCAAACCATGTGTTTCCATGTAACATTTAGTTTAAGCAAAAGACAATAAAAATTATAAATCTGGCTTTTTGGACTAATGATGCAAACATTTCAAGCAGAAAAGGGAATTAGGCGCATTAACCTGGAATGGCATGCATGCAATATATGCTGAATTCATTTTGCTGGCTTGAGTAAAAGGACAACAGTAATTATTGCAATGTTTGGGTATTGTGAAGTGTGGAAATTGGCACTCGTGCATTTCTAGTCACCATATGCATCATCATACCATCATTTCCTTTACCCTAATTTGAATTACCTAATCAAATTACTAATAAAGAGCTGCTCCAAATGTATATTGAAAGATTACCATCTGAAAATGAGTCATGCTTATTTTTCTTTCAAAAATGTTTGCAGGTAAAATTAATATGTATACTGCATTTTCATTTCAACAAATGGCTCTTGGACTGGAGCCTCACTAGATTCTCTGTGAGCTATAAGAAAGTAGGATCCAGATACTCACTGATGGGGAAAAGAAGACAGGATACAGATTTTCACCCAATTCCTCTTTCCTGTGGTGCTGCATCTTTCATTATTCTGGAGGGTTCCTCCCCCGCCCAACAGATTTTGGGACACACAGGCTGAAAATCCAGTAAAATGTTGCAACTAGAGTAGGCTCATTAAATCAGTGGAGATTTGGTGAGTCAACTCCAATTCTATTGATTAAAATGACCTATTCTTGCTCTTACCATTGGATTTCAGCCATTGAGAGATAGAGTATTATCCTTTTGGGCTGGTTTCTAGCATGCTTTACAGCACACAACCTTTCATAAGCTAACAGTGTTAGAAATCCTGCTGTTAGCTACGGCATATACTAAGGGTCTTTTTAAAATTTTGTATTAGTTCTATTCCTTTTTTGTCTGGGCATTGCATGTATAGTTTACTGACAGTATTTCTGTGTTCTTTCTTCATGATACTAATTTCTAAGGGTTTGGTGGCTTTTATCATTACAAGATAGCTAATATAAGTGCAGAGTAGTGTGCTGTCTGAAATAGAATATTTATGTTATCTTATAATCTTCAGGCCATTGTTTCTTTTATGGTTTAAATTCTGTGAGAAAAAGAAAAGCTGAGCCTCAGATATTTGGTGTACAGTCAATACTTCCATATGCTTAAAAGCGGCATTGGATTCTGTAATTTTCCTGGCAACCACCTGAAACCAGTATTTCAATGGGATAATGAATTCTATGACCAGATAGATGGAGTGGCCATGGGGCGCCCCCTCAGCCCTGTTATAGCAAACTTCTACATGGAGCATTTCGAAAAACAGGCCCTGGCTTCGGCACCCTTCACACCCACAGTCTGTTTCCGATATGTGGATGACACCTTCACAATTTGGAACCATGGTGAAGAAAAATTGGAAGAATTTCTAAACCATCTCAACAGCATCCACCCAAAGATACAATTCACCATGAAAAAAGAAACAGAGGGCCAACTCCCGTTCTTAGATGTCATGGTCATACGCAAAACTGACCTCCGATTGGGACACAAGGTCTACAGAAAACCCACCGACACAGACCGGTACCTACACAAAAACTCCAACCACCACCCACAGCAAAAAAGAGGCATAATCAAAACACTGGTAGACCGTGCAAATCGGAACTGTGAAGCTCAGTTTCTCAGCACTGAACTCAACCATTTGAATTAGGCCCTACAGGCAAATGGCTACTCCAAAGATGAAATCACAAGAGCCATC